AACCTTGAATTACAGTAGCTCTGCAGCAGTATCGCATGAAAATAGTAACACTTGGCTGTCAGGGGCTCCAACTTACACATGTGTGACTTGGCTCACCAAGTCAGCCATTCTCAAGATGTGGTCCTACATCAGCAACATCAGCATCATCTAGGAACTTGTTAGAAAGGCAAACTCTCTGTCTATCCCAGGTCTATCGAATATACATTCATCTGATATACCCTAAAGTTTGAGAATCAATGCAGTAATAATTTCCTCTTGTGGCAGAATCAGAATTCCAGTCATTTATAATTCAAATCTTGTTTTTTTACTTTCCATACAGGTCCCCTCCCCTCACAATGCTTTTCCTTTGTGCTACCAAATTCTCCACCTCTGCCCCTTCATCTTGCACAGACATCACCGCCTTCTTGAGTAACGACTCAAGTCCTCTGCCAAAGGTACCAATTACCAGTCCAGAAAGTAAGACCCAGGGAAGTGGCCCTTCAGTGACAGCCACTAAGAAAGCAACCAATCCTTTGGAATCTTTTTTCCAAAAAGCTGCAGAAAAGCAGAAACTCAAAGAAGCTTCACTTTCGTCTCTCCCTGCCACTACCCAGGCCCCCAAGAGCAATTCACCACTCAAGCCCTCATTATCTTTCCAGACCAGCCGGACTACAGGAATCGAGCCCTTCTTTAAGCAGAAAAGTCTGCTTCTGAAGCAGAAACAGCTGAATAATCCTTCCATTTCCTTCCCTCCCCAAAACCCACAGCCTAGTCCTAAAAAGTTAACAGCCAACATTCCAACAGAATATCCAGATCCTGCCCCTGTCTGTGAAGAGGTTTTGAAGCTAGAATTGTGTAAAGCAACTCCTGCAGAGATGGATTTGGCCCAGAACAGCCCCAGGACGCTTGCTTCTTTAACTCCCCAGTCTGCTCTGGAGGTGACTCAGAAAACAACCACTAACCCCAGTCTTCTGGCTACTGAGGATCAAGTGTCCTGTGAGAAGTGTGGTTCTCTGGTGCCTGTGTGGGAGATGCCGGAACATATGGACTATCATTTTGCACTGGAGTTGCAGAAATCCTTCTTGCAGCCTCACTCCTCAAACTCCCAGGTTGTTCCTGTCAGTTCTCCTCAAGGCAAAAGAAATCCCAAGAGCCCTTTGGCCTCCAGTAATAAACGCCCTAAGCCTGAGGGCATGCAGACATTGGAATCATTTTTTAAGCCATTAACACACTAGTGCTGCCCTCAGGCTTGCTACAAGGTTTTAATATTTTATTTATGACCTGGGAAATGGAAATATGTTCATTTTTCAAGGAAATTCATCCTAACTTTATAAAAAAAAAATTTTAAGAAAAATAATGCACTTAAATGCTGAGTTAAGGCTCCCATCTCTTCATGGGCATGGATCCTAATTTCATTGCTGATAGAGATGTAAAAATTCATCCTCCAGAGATACAATTGCTTTGAGTTTTTAATTGTTAAGTGTTTAGGGAGGCGGTCATATAGTTAAAAGTGTGTGGACCTTGGAGCCTAAGAGATCTGGTTCCAAACCTGGTTCTACCTCCTGAAGTATAGGGCCTTGAGCAAGTCACTTTCCTCACTTTTCCTCATCTTTGAGATAATGAGCAAAATGAAGATAATGCCTTACAGGTTACTGAAGATTTAGAACAATTTAAGTACTATAGCACAGAAAAGGAGCTGAGTAAAAAAAAAAAAAAAAAAAAAATTTTCCTTTATCTGTGACAGGGGTTACTCAATAAATACTGAATTTCATACAAGCTAGCTGTATGATAAACAGTTTTAACCACTGGCTCTTCTACCTCTTGCATCATGTTCTAACGTGCGAGATTATTACTGCACCACTGCAGGAATTGTTTAGACTGGATAAGTCATGATCAGAACTAGATCATCTCTAGACCTTTGCTACTCTGAATGTAATTTTGAGCAGTAGCAGCAGCAGCTTCAAGGGGACTTGTTAAAATCATCTGTCTCACCCCACCCCAACTGAATCAGAATCTGTATATTAACAAGATTCCTCAGGCTGTATCTTAAAGTTTGAGAATCACTGATCTAGAAGATACCAGTAGCCAGCCAGGTTTGTAGAGAGCATTTTCTTAAATTCTAAAGTACAAACGTAAGGGGTAAGTACTTGGGCCTTCAGGATCACTGGCGTGTTCATCTCTTTCAGACTGAAGTGACTATTTAGCTTAAAGGTTTTCAATTATTGTAGCTTTTTTGCACTTGTCCATGTTTATAGTACTGTATTCTTAGCTCTGTTCTTATTTGTGGAAAGTCAGCTTTTCTGATATGGTTTACCTTGAATAAAATTGAAGATGAAAGGTAGTGAAGACATTAGCGGGTGGAGGGAGGGCTGAGAGAGATGGAAAGGGGCGGGGGAATGGGAGATATCTGTAATACTATAAATAAAAAATATTTTAAAAACTGAAGAATTGAGTTTGGTTGTGGGGGTAGTGGAGTAGGGAGAATGGTGTACATATTCCCTTCCCACACATATACTCAAACCACCTGCTTTTTAATCTTACTTATAAACTGGAGACTGTATTTACTTTGCAGGTGGGAGGAAACATTTGAAAAACCACTAGGTCTAACAGAAATTTCTTCCTCCAAAAATAGTTTCCTTTTTTTAAATTGCAGTTAAATACCTAACAAAAGACAGTTCACTGTGTATATGGTCCTTTCCCTACTAGATCTAGTTACTTGGAGGTAAGAATTCTTTAGTGTCTTGCACATAATAGATGCTTGATATCTACTAAATGAAACATAGTAAAAAATTTTAGATAAAGTTACTAGAACTGGAACAATAAAAATATACATACTACTGGGGGGGGAGGCAGAGAGCTCCTTTATGTACCATTTTATCCTCCTACATGTTCCATTGACATAGCAGAGTGGCTTACCAGTTCCTGAAGATGTTTTATTAAGTACGGAGATGATTTTCCAAAATTTCCTTTCTTAATTCAGGGAAGGTTAAAAAAGCATTTTTGTTCTTTAACAGGTGATTTGTGTATAGGTTTAATATTTCAAATCCACTTTTGATCTAAGTGAAATTGTTTTAATTCAGTTGTTTATGACAAATTTTAAAAAGTTGCTTTGATATTAGGATGAATTATGCCAGGATGTGATCATTTTGCATCTGTTGTTGAAAAGCAGTCAGAAGCCCACCTCGGGGGGTTCTGCTGGGGGCTTACCAATAGAAACACGTGGAGAAGCAACAATGGTAAGGGGACATCCTATATAATAAAAGCCTAATGTGCAAATCGATCGAACAGCAGAACGACTGGTCACTATGATGTGCACTAACCATCATGGGGCAGACGCTGAATGCAGGAGCTGCCCCCAGCCTGCAGGCCCCAGGCCAGCCAAGGCTGGTGCCAATAGGGTGCCCCCTTCATTGCCCCACAGATGGGCCCTGATTGCCGACCTGGCCTAAGGACCCTACCCGTGCACAAGTTTTGTGTACCAAACCTCTAGTTTAGACTATAAATGTTGAGTTTTTGAGGACTATTTGAGTTTTGCTTTGGGTGAGACAACTCTTTGCTAAGAACTCTCTGAAGATACTTGAGACATGTGCTCCTACTTGTCCAGTGGTATTAAATCCATGCAGGGTTTTTCCCTGGCCGGGTAGCTCAGTTGGTTAGCACTGGAAGCCAACAGGTGGTCCATGAGATCTGAAAGGTTGTCGAATGCTGGGTTATAGCATTGTCCCAATATAACAAGGTTGTGGGTTTGATCCCCAGTCAGGGCACATACAAGAATCAACTAACGAGTGCATCATTAGTGGAACAACAAAAAAGATGTTTTTTTTCTCTAAAAATCAATAAATAAAATTAAAAAACCAACCAACCCATGCAGGGATCTCAGAAGTGATAATCCTAATAGCAGCTTAGCCATCCTGCTACCCTAACAACATGCTCTAGCAACAGGGGACTTACTTTTATGCTGGCAGCTGGAAGTCAGCTCTTTGGTGGGTCACTAACTCTCCCGAGTGCCTCCTGGTAGTGTGATTAACCTGACATTTGTTTGATGTATTACTTCTTTACTTTGTTTATTAAGAGTTATTGTATGCTACTGGCTTTTGAAATCATAATACCCAAAGCGAACCTGTGCTAAATAAGTAGCTGACAAAGACAGAAATCTCTGAGCATAATTGTTGTCTCCTAAAACATTTTTTTTGTGTGCTACATATAACCTTTCCTTATAGCACAGCTATTGTACAGAAGGAAGTAAACCTTCTCTTAGTTCCCATCACAGGGGAAGGTCTTCGATGGTCAACCTCTTCGTAACAAGCGTAACCAGTGAGCAGAAAAAAGAGTTTGAGAGGTAGGGAAGCTATCACTTTAAAACCCTGGAGACAGAATGCCCCTGAGGACCTCGGGCCACATTTATCATTAAATTTCTTTTTCAAAATTCAGAGCTCAAAATGCAGTTCCTTTAGTTGATTTTAATGTTGAGCCCTATTTCTCTACTTATAGACTGTGATAATCAGGTTCTCTGAACACAGAAACAGGAAGGGACTAAAGTTTGGCAAGGTGGCCCTCAAAGCTCCAAGGAGCCAATTTAGGCCACATAAACCTCACTTTAGGCTATTTTGCATTGCTAGGTAAAGCATGAGGACCAGATTACCATATCTCCAAATTCTACTCTTCATTAGTAGCTGGCATACTAATCTCCAAATCTCTGATACAGTAGTGAGTTCCTTACCATTAGCAAGTGGCCAATTCTTCAAGTATGAGGCGGTTACCTATCTCAGCTCAAAAGAGCAGTTTCACTTTCTATTCTCACTTGAAGAACTATGCAAAACAGCTCAGAATACTTGATCACAATACTGGAACACTGATTGCAAATGGGAGAGAGGAAAGGAAGAATGGTGAATGAGATATTACTGGTAGCTGAGTTCTTTCCCCATTCAGGGTTCAGCAGTGTTAGGGTATCACCTGTCTCTAATCCCAGAGAGGAATCTAGTTCTGGAAGTGGAACCTATTTGTTTAATAAGCACAGTGTGTTCAATAAAACATTTTTATTCTGTACAATATATATATGTGTACTTAAATATATATATGTATGTACATATATATATACACGCAAAGAAACCTCAACCAACAAATCCCTGAGTCCATGGGAACCCAGGACACTAACAAAAGGGAAAGAAGGGAGTCCATGTCTTAAAGAGTAGGAAATATGGCAACAACCTTCCCTTTTCTCTAGGTTCCCAGCAACAGAGGGAAAGGGATGGTCACTGCAAATTACTAAAACAGAGGACTTAGGTAGGAGCGGGAAGCAGGGTGGGGGTGGCGGAATGGGAGCTGTGGGTCAGTGTGGGAAAGTAAAACATATTGCTTGATCCAGCATTAAAACAACATATCACTCCTGGCCAGATAGCTCAGTTGTTTAGAGAATTGTCCTGGTATGCCAAGGTTTCTGGTTTGATGCCGTCAGGGCACATAAATAAATGCATATATAAGTGAAACAACAAATCAATGTTTCTCTCTCCCTTTCTCTTTCTAAAACCAATTGGAAAAAAAATTAAAACCAACAGATCGCTGCAGAAGAGGGGACAAAACTGATTGACATGCAGCTGACCTTCGGTATGCCAAGCTTTAGCTTGACAGCCCCACGCCTGGGCCAGCTCAACAAATAGCACCTGTGGGGCCTATGAGAGGAGAAACGGGGAAATGGCCTTTGAGTGAAAAAGGGAAGGGCCATAAAGCTGAGAATAGGCTGCATGTCTCAGCACAGGATGGGAACATTGCCATTCACTGTGCCATTTCTTCAGACCCTAGACCATCAAATGGCCAGGAGCCTGAGTAGATGTCTTCTGTCCACAGTCAGGTAGAGACGGGCAACTTACATGGTCTTCAGAAGAGGTATAGAAAAAGGAGTGCTTTCGAGGACCACTCCCAGTTGTGACAATTCCTGAAGTGCAGGGACCACACCGGTGATCATGCCCAGTCCTGACAGTGGGGCCGAGGTGGCAGCGGTCAGCTCCCTCCGTAGACAGGTCATGGGGTTTCCAGTGTGGATGAGCCAACAAGATGGACACACAGCTGCTGAGCACTGCCCTGAATTCTCCCGTCTTCTCCCTCAGGGCTTTCCCTCCCTGGCCACACCAAGCTTGGCACCTTTCCAGCATGGTGGCAGGGAGCACCCCTCTCCCTAGCCTATTAACACACAGAGCCGCCTGCAGGGGGCAGCATGGCCAGAGGCATCATGTATTGTAGGGACAGCAACAGAGCTGTGCCTGCTTGGAGTTCAGAAGCCCACGTTGGCCTGGGCTTCTCCTGCTGCAATGGCTTGCACATCAGTGACATGGCCGATGCCCTTGGTGACACCCTCCCGGAACAGCAGCTTGGCGCCCACCTTCAGGTACTCTGGGTGTTTCAGGAAGCGGAAACGTACCACTGCCTTCTCCCCTGTCCGCAGCTTGTCCTGCAGCAGATAGGTGGTCACTGGCTCTGATAATGCCTCGGGTCCCATTCTCCACCAGCTTGGGTTCTCCACCCTTTGGGGCCTATCAGGCTTGTACCCACTCTGAATGGGTCTCTGTCCCTTTTGTGGGACCAGGGAGTTCTCTTAAGAGGCTGGGGCAGGCTTTTCAGGAAGGAGAATTCTGACTTTTCCCTAGAAAAACATGCATAGCTGGATCCCTCTCACCTTGGCATGGATCTTTTCCACCACTGCCGTCTGGCGGACATTGCCCACGTGGACTGTAACTTGGAAGCCTCGCCGGAATGTGGTGGCATGGAACAGGAGGACTATTTCTGCCTCAAACACTGAGCAGATGGTGGGATTCATCTCGGGGCTCACCATCACCATGCCCTGGAGAGCACAGCCCCAGACCTCACGTTAGTCTCTCACCCTACGGCTCCTAAGTTTCCTCTCCCTCTAGGACTTCAAACACAAGACCTCAAAAGGCAATACCCAAAGCTCTCCTCTTAGGAGAAACCCTCCTTACCTACCTCCCGGATCCTCTAACCCTTCTAATGATTTGTATTTCTAGGGCCCTGGACACTTGGGTTGGCCCACAGTGATTCATAATTAGTGATCTGTGCTTTCTGAGTATTATAACTCTTTTCAAACACAGACAGTCTGTGTAACCAGCTTCCCTTTGAATTCCCCTTACACAGGTGCTTCTCTTGTGTCCCCTCTCAACCCACCCTCCCATCTCACCTTTCGGAGGAGCGCACGGTCAAAGTCTCCGAGGGCCAGCGTAGCAGCCTGACCAGCTCGCAGCACACGGCAGGCAGAGCGGTTGCGCTGGATGCTGCATACTCTCAGCTCCAGGAAGCAGCCATCGTCCGTGGGGCCCACCACCAGCTGGTCGCCCTCACGGCAAATCCCACTGCAGCCCAGAGGGCGGATGGCACAGCGTCAGCCCAGGCTCCCTCCCTTCTCTGCTAGGGTCACCCAGAGCATTCTTTCCCCTCTAAGGTGAGTCCCTCAGGAGGGGAATAGAGACCCTAAATTCTGAGTTAGGGAAAAAATTCTAACTTGGAGGTAGAGGAAGTGGATGCCTGTCCCAGTTCAGAGCTCAGATTCTGAAGGGTAATGCCAGGAAAGGCCGTGATGACTGGCAGGGGTACCTGCTGGGTTGATACTGAACATCTGACCCTTGCCTGTAAGAGCAAGACAGCCCCGTGGGTTCCATCCTCTGCTTTGGAAAGAGTCTTAAGGAGCCTCTCGTTTCCCTACTTGAAAATGAGGTCAGCAGAACACACTAGTTTTCTTCCTGGAGCCCGGGACCCACACTGCTCCCTCAGGGCCTGGAGATGCCCAGCAAACCAGCAATCCTGTTTCTTCCCTCACAGCCACTAGACTAGCTCTCTCCAGCTCCTCTGATGGGGAAAGCCTAATCTGAAGGCAAGCACATCTTTTAGCTAAGCTCTGTTCAACTCCAGGGTCTCCTTTGGACCATAATGTATTAGTGTCTGGGTATGTGAGGGCTGAGTGGGGTGGGCAGCAAGCAAGGAAATTCACCTGGAAAGTGTCCCTCCAACAACTGTGCCCACCTCTGGTACTGTGTAGATTTCATCCACCTGAAGCCAAAGAAAATTCCATCAATGGCCTGTGCAGGTGCAAAATCTCTAAGCAGACTCGGGGCTTAGCCAGAATTAGTCCTTCCTAGTTCCCCGGCTCACTGCCTGTTTGGGTGGACACTTACCTGAAACTCTGTCAGCTGCTGCATGAGTTCCTCCTGCTCTTTGCTGTTGGTGAGCGGTGGCAGGATATTCAGAAAGACTTTGAGCAGGTCCAAACTCTCTCCAGACACACTGGACAGGGTGAAGATTGGGGTGACACTGTAGAGGGAGACATGAGATAGACAGATGAGGAAAGTTGTAACAGGAAGCAGAGGCTAGAGCCCGTACATGGAAAGGTGAGCTGTTATCAGGGTGGCTAGGCCCCTCCTGATAAACCTTCACAGGAGCGTCAGGCCCTCTCTGTGAACCAGCCAAGGACCTATCCAGAGCCCAGGGGGGTTGGTGAATGCCTGTCACAGCACTTCGTCTCCGGGGTCCCAGGCTGGCTTGGGTCAGTCCTTTAGCAAAGACACCCTCCCACAATCCCAACCTGCAAACCATAGAACTGAGCCAGGCCGGTTTGGCCCAGGGGTGGGACACCATGTTCCCAGGCTCCGTGGCAGCCTTCCCCGTGAATCAGGGCTCTGGAGGAGGAAGGCTTACTTGGGTGACTGGGCAAACTGCTGGGCGGCAGTGACGGCATCATCCTCAGAGATGACCAGCATGGGGACTTTGTGGCAGCCGGGCTGCTTCAGGACCCGCTCTAGCTGGCGAACCGTCCTCTCCACTGTGGTCTTGGCGCACAGGTCCACCTTGCTGACCACGATGAAGAAGGGCACTTTCAGGGCCAGGGCCAGCCCCAGATGTTCCCGTGTTGTGCCGGCTGCCTCAGAGAAGGAGGCAGGAATCAGGAGAGAAGAGTGAGGATGTGGGAGGGAGGAGAGGAAATAAAAGTTCATCTGGCTCCCAGGTTGGAGGAGACCCAGGGTAGGAGAAAGTCAGCACCCCCTCCCAGCCACATCCCTGCCCCAATGCCTCGTACCAATCCCAGTGTTAGCACTAACGAGGAGCAGGGCGCAGTCAGGGCAGTACGAGGTGAGGCCAAAGATGGTGGTGTGTAGGTACTTGTGGTGGCCGGCCAGGTCGATGAAGGTGATCATCTTGGAGCTGCTCTCACAGATCTCTTCTGCCGTCCGTGAGTCACTGTAATTCACCACCTGGCCCAGAGCCCAGGGCGCTCAGTGCCCCCTGCCAGCCTCCCCAACCCTTTCAGAGTTGCCAGGACCTAAACCAGTCCCTGAGTGACCCTGCCTCTTACCCCTGAGCCCCATCTGTGATTTAATTCAGCTGATTCCCCATTTGTTTTCTAAGGAGGACAGAACTTGTGCACTGCCCTCAGGGCCTTCATCTATCTACTCAAAAAGTGTCCACACACTGCCCCATACCCTGTCCCTCACCACTGCTATCCCATCCTCATAGTCTGGCCCCACTGGGTCCCGTTGATGGCATGCACCTCTCCCTTGCTGTTAAAGCCCAGGATCTCGAAGCTGATGCTGGAGGTCCGGCCAGACTGAATCTCATGCAGGTGGCGGAACAGGTTGAGCCGAGCTCGGCCCCGGCCATTGTCCAGCTCTCCTTGGGTCAGGACTCCAAGCAGAGTAGACTTCCCTGAGTCCACGTTCCCCAGGACAGCCACACGAAGGTCCAGAAACTGTGGATGAATTGTCAGAGGTAAGGGCTCCAATCCCTTACCTCTACTGAAGGCGGGGTCAAGGGCAGCGCTGCTCCCTGGGAACCAAATGATGACCTGGATACCCCCAGGGTCACAGGCCAGGAGAGCGCCTGCCACCACAGGGTCCTCGGGGAGCGTGAGTGAGAAAGGCAGGGAAAAGTGTGCTCACCTGCTGGTTGTCAGGGACCTTTCGCACCAGCACCTCAGTGATCTTTCGGGGCACGTCGCTATCATAATCCACTTCTCGCTCCCGGAGAACTGTGATGTCTGCCCCAACCCTATCACAGCAAGGCCACAGCTGCCACATCTCGACTGCACTCCCCCACCTCCAGCCTTCCATCCTGGCTCTGGACCAATGGCCTTCCCACACATCCCAAAGAACTCCCGAAGCGTTACTTTCTCTCCTACCACCCTCAATCTATCCCACATCCACAGATCCCTTTAAACAAACAAACAGACAAACAAACAAACAAACAAGTCTTAAGTCAAAAGGCAAAAAAGCCTAGGTTCAAATGTGGAGGAGCTCAGAACTAGCCCTTCCCACTTCATCCCTTTGTCAAGAGAAGGCAGCAGAAGGAAAGTATCTTCTTGGCCCTAAGGCTCTAGGTCACTGGATGCATTTGGGTTTTCCCCAGAGTTAGGGAAGAGAGAAGTGAGGGGGGCGGGGAAGCATACTTCTCTGCCATCCGGTGCAGGGTCTTGAGGGAGGCCCGCATCTCCTCCTCAGCCAGCCCCACCAGCAGCCCATTGTCCTCCACCCCAATCTGGTAGACTGCCTCACCACGGCCCTCCTGGAGCCGCCACTTCATCTGTGTCACCAGGTGCTCAAAGCGGTACTGGGATGGATTCACCAGCTTCAGCTTAGGGCAGGTGAGGGATCAGGAGAAGGTGAAATCAGAGATGGTCCTCCTACACCCACATGCTCACCACCTGTCCTGCTGTAAGGACCAGGACCTTCCCTTCCCGCTTACCCCCTCATGCCTGACCTCCCCTCTAACAGTGAGTCCCCCTCGCCCAATAAAATGAGGTACAGAGCCTTTACCCTGAACCACATCCTAAATTACTATAGATCGTGAAATTGGAAGGATGTCAAGAGAAATCGCCATCCCATGCCAGCAAGGACAACCTGCACCTCCCCAGCCTAAGACTCACTTTATATTCGATGTTTCCATCTTCAGCCTGAAAAGGAACACGGAGCAGTTACCAAATAAGGTCCAGACCCAACCCCAACTTCCCCGATTCCTGATGGGGCCCAGGCAACAGTTAACTTGAGAAGGAAGCCACAATGGCACCTGTTAAGGCAGGTGCCTGCCAAAGGTCATTGGCAGACAAGCTCCCTACCCAGCCCCAACGTGACTTCTCTCAAGGAAAGGCCTCTAAGAACAATCACCCATCTACGCCAGGAATAGAACCCTGAGTCCCTCCTTTCTTTGGTCACTGGAAGTATATAATTCCTAGATGCAAGATCACTCCTTCCTTCTCTTCAGGCCCTCAAACTGCAGTCCCCAGAAATCTGTCTCCTCTCTCCTGGCTGTTGAGGCCCTTCTTTGCCATTGGTCTGGGAGACACCATTTCCTTCCTTCCCCTCCTTCTCAGCTGATGTCATCAAGAGTAAGAGAATGCAAGAGGTTCTGGGCCAGGGCCAATGGGTGAACTCAGCACTGGTCATTACAAGCCCAATGAGAGAGGAGCTGAAATAAGAGAGGGATAGGGCTCCAAAGTTGGGGCTGAGGTGAAGGGAAGAAACTCAGAAAATATAATTAAGGGGACAGACTCACTGTGGCTTTTCTCTCTTATGCCATAACCCAGGGGTGGGGAACCTTTTTCCTGCCAAGGGCCATTGGGATATTTATAACATCCTTCGAGGGCCAATACAAAATTATCAACTTAAAAATTAGCCTGCTATTATTTGGTCAAACAATTAATTCACCCCTAATGCCTTGGCAAGGCCAGACCAAATGATTTCTCTGGCTGGTGAGCTGGAATTCCCACACCTGCCCCAACTCTATGTCTGAGCTGAGTCCACTCCAGTCTCCTCTACCTCTCCCCTATATTACGTGACCCAACAGAAGTATCCTATTGCCTGAGCCTTCCCCTCTCAGGTGCAAAAGGATATGAGATTTGCTTGTTCTGTCTGTCCTGCATTTCTGCACTCCTCCTCCCTGGCCATTTTTCTTTCTCCCTTTCTGTCATCATTCCATCTCTTCAAGGCGCTCTGACCCAGGCTTTAATAGGTCTTCACCAATAATCTCTACTTCATGGAGTATAAGGGAGAGCTTTGCTCATCAACAAAGACCTTCCTTTTTATCATTTTGATGGAGATGAAAAATTAGAATGAATGTCATCAGAAAAGTGGTACAAGGACGATCCAAAGTGTGGTCCCAGGGCCAGCTGCGTTAAAACCACCCAGGAACTTGTAAATGCAGATTATCAGGCCCACCTCTGACCTATTGAGCCAGGAATTCTAGGGGTGGAGCAGCAATCAGATGATTCTGATACATGCTAAAGTTTGATAACCACTGGGTTAGGCTCTTCCTCTGGGTCCTCCTCTCCTAAGATGGACAAAGTAGCAATATTCTCTGCCTTAAGGGGTAGATGAAGTCGGTATGTGGAGGCGGTCCTCACATCCTCCTAGGACAGGCAAAGGTCAGGATTACCTGACTGTTCTGGGGTGTGTGCGTGTGTGAGTGTGCGTGTGTGTGTGTGTGTGTACTCAGGGATAAGTACAGAACATACTGCTCTTTTCCCGGTACTCCCCTCCTCCCCAAGGAACAAGTGTAGAAAACTCTGCCTCTTCATCCCAGGATGGAGTCTCCTTGCTCTCAGTGCAGCAAGGGATGAACCTGGGCATTCCATTCTGATCATCCCAAGGGGATGGGAGTGGGATCTCCCTTCCCCACTTTTCCTCCTGGCATTATCTAGATCAGAATAAGGGGATGCTCCTCTCCACTCTTCCTCTCTGGGGTCCTAATCCCGGAGGAGAGGGCCAGTCTCTCCATCGCTCCTTCCAGGGGTCCTGGGACCGGAAGGAGGGGTTCTACTCTCCCCAGGGGTCCTGACACCGGAAAGGGGTAGCAAGTCTCTCCGTCCCGCCTTCCCGGAATCCTGGGACCGGAAGAAGTGGTTTCTTCTCAACCCGCCACTGCTCAGGTGCTCACCTCGGGGGGCAGATATGGGGGGTTGTTGGCTTTGCTCCCTCTGTTCTTTCCGTTCTTCTTCTTCCCCTTCGGGCCCCCGCAGCCGCTGCTGCCCCCGGCTCCCCTAGCCTTGAGGGTTCCGCCCATGGCCGGGCCCCCTCCGGGCCGGCAGCAGCCGCCGAACAGCTCCGATACCCGCGAGTCCATCCGCCGCCGCCGCCGCCAGCCCCCCGCCCGGCCCCTCCCCCCCGCCACTACCGCCGCCGCCGCCCCTACTGCCACCGCCGCGTCGGGCCAGCCGGAGGGGAGCGGGGTGGGGCCCTGCCCAGGCCACGCCCGCACCCGTCTCCGGCTCCAGGCGCGTCAGAAACAGCCGCGGTGCACCACGGGATATAGAGTCCTCCAGCCTGAGAGCTTCCTCCAAAGAGGTCGCCGCCGTCCTACAACTCCCAGGAAGCATCGCGACGCAGGGGCCGCAGGTGGCTTCGGGGCGTAGACAGGGAGCGCGCCTTTGCGCGCAAAGGTCTAAGGGAGCTGTAGTCTGGTCCCCAGTCTCCGCTCTCTGAACCGGTCTTTATCTAATAGGGTCTTGGGGTGGGTGTGTGGGTGGGGGGGTGTCACCGGAGGGCTTACTTCAGAATCCAGCTTGGAGGACACTCCTGTTGTGTGGCCCCTTAGCGCGATCCCGGGCAACAGGTTTTAGACCCGGAGAATTGCAAATTCACAGCCGCTGGTCCCTGCAGCCTGCTGGCTCCTCCCCCGCCTCGGTTTCTTCCCTCTTCCCCGATGGTCGGCGTGCCGTCGGGGTGAGTCAGGGCGAATGCCAGGGCGGAGGCGGGTGATGGTTAGCCTAATTATGGCTGTTATTGTTACGATGATTATGCCACCTTTACACTGCAGTCACTGCTTTATTACCAGGCTGGCACCCTCCGGGGGCTAGTTTTAGCAGCCCAAGACACCGCGGTAAGCCCCAATAGGAGGCCCGAACCCATAAACAGCCTTGCTGCCAGAGGGTTACAAGGATGCCCGCAGCGAGTATTGCCCCTCCTTCTTGTTTTGAAGCAGAACCAATCAGGGAGAACCGAGTTTAGTTTGAAAACATTCGGGGCTATAGGAGGGGCGGGCTCGGGTTACCTCAACCTCAAGGAGGGCGGGGAAGTGGCCGAGAATAGAAACTTGGCCAAGGGCCCCCGGAGGATTGCTGACTTTTGACTTTCTTGCCAAGTCATCCCTCTTGCTCTTTAGAGCTCTGGCAGCCAGCAAAGAGTAAACACTTAGCGACATAAACCAGTGTACAGGACACTCAGAAAGGCAGAGTGGAGAAGCAGTTAGTGTTGTTGGGTTGGGAGTCAGGACGCCAGGGTTCAATTCCGAGCCCCTGGCTCTCTCATGACTCACCCACCATTCATTGTATGTCCACTTCCCCTCTCTTCACAAACAGCAAGACGCTCACACGGCAGCCGAGAAATAAAACAGCCCATCCCTTCAGACCTGAGGTTAACTTGGAAAATTAGGAGCAGCAACAATGGCTTACCTCTGGTGATCCTTTTAGGGGTTCTGACGTGGTCGGATCCATGGCTTCCCCCAAGACGACAAGGAGGGAAGGCAGATTTCTAATCAGAGTTGCTACCCACCTGGCATAGCTCCCCCAAACAGTGGGAGCTGATGGGTCAAAATCTGCAAAAGACCTTAGCGGATCCAGGCAATTCTGTTGTCTTCAGTGGTTGAAAGCATATTTGACTTCTCTCTTCTCAACCCTGTTTAGCTAAAGGAAGTTATGCTGCAGAAGTCAACCTTAGCCAGAGAGACTGCTACATAGAGGCTGAGACCTGAAAACTCAGTGACAGATCTCAAGAAGGATGGGGATTGGAAGGGAGAGCTAAGACCATCCCAATTTTCTCGCCAGGAGCAGCTCTGGGCTCTCATGATAACCAGGGCCTGCTACACTTGCCTGATAACACTTGTCTTCTCATCTTGGTGGATCTTTCAACTACTCCAACACAGTTTCACTTTATCCATCCCAACACCCTGGCCTCCTAAGTGGAGAACTTTTGAGAGCCGGGAAAGGATAACTAATTTTGATATCCCATTCTTTAAAAAAATATATCTTATTATTTATATTTGTTTTGCAATACCATTTTAAAAAATCCTCACCTGGAGGTATTTTCCATTAATTTTAAAAATTATATATTATTGGCCCTAGTAGGTTTGGCTCAGTGGATAGAGCTTTGGCCTGACGGGTCCTGGGTTCGATTCCAGTCAAGGGCATGTCCCTCAGTTGCAGGCTCCAGGGCGAGTGCAGGAGGCAACCAATCAATGTACCTCTAATATCAATATTTCTCTCTGTCTTCCCTCTCTCATCATTGATGTTTCTGTCTCTCTCTCCTTTTCTCTTCCTCTCTGATTTCAATATTTAAAAAATAATACTGGGTGAGTTTTTAAAAATATATATTTTATTAATTTTATAGAGGAAGAGAGAGATAGAAACATCAATGATGAGAATCATTGATTGGATGCCTCCTGCATGCTCCCCACTGGGGACCGAGCCTGCAGCTCAGGCATGTGCCCTTGGCCAGAATCAAACCTGGGACCCTTCAGTTCGCAGGCTGACGCCAAACCAGCTAGGGCTCCATTGATTTTTAGAGAGAGTGGAAGAGAGAGGGAAAGACAGAAATATCAATGTGAGAGAAACATTGATTGGTTGCCTCCTGCACTCGCCCTGGAGCCTGCAACCGAGGTACACAGGCTGACCCTCTATCCACTGAGCCAAACCAGCTAGGGCAATCTCCCATTCTTGAAAATCCTGGCTAACCACAGATAGGAGTGAAGGCTGGCAGAGAAGTAGGCTGAATACAGATGTCTGTCTAGGAGGGGATCAGGGTCCTGGGAGAAGGAAGGTCTTATGTGTTTAGTTTTCTGGAGGAGTTACTTGTGAGATGCTTATGATGTGCTTGACTGGGATGTATATGTCTACACACACACATACACACATTTTTTCCCTGGGATGTAATTTGTCATTTATTCTGTGTATAGTACTTTGACATAAGATTTTAATTTTTTGGAATTCATATTTATGTAGGATGTGTGGTAGGAACTAATTTGCTATTCTTCCCGCTAATTGGATAGGAATTTTTCTCAAGTTATTTGCTTTTTGTTGTTAATCCTTACCCGAGGATATTTTTCCATTGATTTTTTTTTAAGAGAGAATGGAAGGGAGAGGGAGAGACCGAAAGAAAGAAACATCCATGTGAGAGAGACACATTGATCGGTTGCCTCCCACACAGTCCCTGACAAGGACCAGAGATTGAGACTGCAATGGACGTCCGTGCTCTTGACTGGAACCAAACCTGGGCTCGTCAGCCCTCGGGTCATTGCTCTTTCCACTGAGTCAAACCAGCCAGGGCTCAAGTTATTTGCTTTGAAAAGTCACCCTCATAATATACTAAGACTTATATGTACATGGATCTGTTTATACACTCTCTTCTTCTGTTTTATTGTTTGCTTATTCCTGAGCCAATACCACAATATTTTTATCATTGTACTTTTATAGTATATTTTAAAAAAATAAATTTTTATTGATTTCAGAGAGGGAGATGGAGAGAGATAGAAATAACAATGATGAGAGAGAATCATTGATTGGCTGCATGCCCCATACTGGGAATTAAGCTGATAACCTGTGCATGTGCCTTGATTGGGAATGGAACTGTGATCTCCTGGTTCATAGGTTGATGCTCAATCACTGAGTCATGCTGGCTTGGCTATAGTATTTTATTTTTTAAGCGATTAACATTTTTTAAAAATTAGTGTTTATTTTGTAAGTGAAATGCTCAAGAAACTTTACAAAGTTCTGAAGGCCTAGAGATAATCAGGTTTCAGATTAGCTTATAGGCAGATGCAGACTGTTGGTTTCTCAGTTACTAATGCCTAAATTTCATTGTGCTCAATTCTGTACTCCCATGATTCTTCTAGTTGAGGAATGGTGAATTCCTCCGACTTTCGGCGTACATCAGCATTTACCACAATAAGAAAAAACAAACAAACAACAACAACAACAACACAAAAAAAACAGTGGCAATATCCATCATTACCATTGCAAAGGGAAACATTTTATAACCCAGGGAGAAACTTGCCATAGCAAATCCAAAAATCAAAATCATTAACCCAGTAAAGAAGAAAAGTATCATTTGCAGAATCTTTATGAACACTTACCTTGGATTATTCTCTGCAGTCAAGTCTGCTGACTATAAACTCGAGATGTTGAGATCATGATGAGTTTTATTTTGTATTTATGTTTAATCTTTGCTGTTGAAAGTGTTACTTATTTCCCCCCATTGCCCCTTCCATCCTTCCCCTGCTGCCCGCTCCACGCCTTCCCCACCCTATTGTCTGTATCCATGGGTTATACATATATGCATACAAGTTCTTTGGTTGCTCACCCTCCACTCACCTTGTCTCCAAGGTTCCACACTCTGTTTCATGCTTCTATGCCTCTGGATCCACTCTGTTCATCAGTTTATTTTGTTACTTAGATTCCACATATGAGTGCAATCATCTGATACTTGTCTTTCTCTGACTCACTTATTTCACTCAGCATACTACTAGTACTCTCTAGGACCTTCCAGGCTGTTTCAATGGTAAGAGATTCTTCTTTTTTTACTGCTGCATAGTATTCCATGGTATAAATGTGCCACAACTTTTTTTTTATCCATTCGTCTATTTTTAAAAACATATATTTTATCAATTTTTTACAAAGAGGGAGAGGGATAGAGAGTTAGAAATATCGATAAGCTGCCTCTTGCACACCTCCTACTGGGGATGTGCCCACAACCAAGGTACATGCCCTTGACTGGAATTGAACCTGGGGCCTTTCAGTCCGCAGGCTGACGCTCTAAGCCAAACCAGTTAGGGCTCCACTCATCTATTGATGGGCACTTGGGCTGTTTCCAGATATTAGCTATTGTAAACTGTGCTGCTATGAACATAGGGGTGTATGCATTCTTTCTGGTTGGTGTTTCAGGTTTCTTAGGGTATATTACTAGAAGTGGGGTCTCTGGGTCAAATGGCAGTTCTGTATTTAATTTTTAGAGGAAACTTCATACTGTTTTCCATAAAGTCTGCATTCCAACCATAAGTGTACTAGGGTTCCCTTTTCTCTGCATCATCGCCAGCACTTGCCATTTGTTGATGGTAGCCATTTTGACAGGTGTGAGGTGATATCTCATTGTCATTTCAATTTGCATATCTCAGATAATCAATTGATGACTTTGAGCATTTTTTTTCATGCCTCTTGGCCATCTATATGTCCACTTTGGAGAAGTGTCTATTTAGATCCTTTGTCCATTTTTAAATTTGATTGTTTGTCTTTCTTTTGTTACATTGTATAAGTTCTTTATATATATATTTATATTAACTCTTTATCAGATGTATCATTGCCAAATATATTCTACCATACAGTGGGCTCTCTTTTCGTTTTATTGTTGGCTTCTCTTGCTGAGTAGAAGCTTTTTAATATTGATATAGTCCCATGTGTTTATTTTCTCCTTAGTTTCCTTTGCCCTAGGAGATGTATCCATAAACATATTGCTATGAGAGATGTTTAAGATTTTGCTGCCTATGGTTTCATCTAGGATTTTTTTTTTTACTTATATTTAAGTCTTTTATCCATTTTGAATTTATTCTTGTGTACAGTGTAAGTTGGTGGTCTAGTTTCATTTTTTGCATGTATTTGTCTAATTTTCCCAACACTGTTTATTGAAGAGACTGCTCTGCCTCCTTTGTCAAAAATTAATTAAACATAATGGCTTGGGTCAATTTCTGGGGTCTCTGTTCTGTTCCATTGATCTATATGTCTGTTCTTGTACCAGTACCAGGCTGTTTTGATTAAGCTGGCTTTGTAGTATAACTTGATATCTGGTATTGGGATTCCTCCAACTTTATTTTTCTTTCTCAAGATTGCTGCAGGGAGGGGGTGTTGGTGGAAAAAAAATTATTGCTGCAGGTATTAGGGTCTTTTTTGGTTCCATATAAATTTTTAGAGTATTTGTTGTAGATCTGTGAAATATGCTGTTGGTATTTTAATAGGGATCACATTGAATCTTATCTTGTATTTAATGCAGCTTTTGAACAACTACAAAAGTCAAACTCCTTTTCAAGATGAGATGCCAAACACAGTTTTTTGTGCTTCTTTTATAGGAAATAGGATCTTGTTTGGATAATTGCAATAACCTGGGTTCTCATGAAAGGCCATTTTCACCCATCAACATAGCTTTATCTCAATCCAATGACATAAGATCGATTAACATTTTTTAATTGATTTCATAGAGGAAGAGGGAGAGAAATAGAAACATCAGTGAGTAAGAATCATCCATTGGCTGCTTACAGCATGCCCCCTACTGGGGATTAAGCCTGAAACTCAGGCATGTGCCCTGACTGGAAATCAAACCATGACCTCCTGATTCATGGGTTGACACCCAACCACTGAGTTATACCAGTTGGGTCTTTTATAGTATGTTTTAATCTCTGGTGCCTACTTCCTGAAACACAACCTTTCTTGGCCTCTGTGACTTGACACATCTATTTCTTTTTTTTTTTTTTTCTTTTTTTTAAATATATATTTTATTTATTTTTCACAGAGAGGAAGAGAGAGGGATAGAGAGTTAGAAACATCGATGAGAGAGAATCATCGATCAGCTGCCTCTTGCACACCCCCTACTGGGGATGTGCCCGCAACCAAGGTACATGCCCTTGCCCGGAATCGAACCTGGGACCTTTCAGTCTGCAGGCCGACGCTCCATCCACTGAGCCAAACCGGTCCCGGCGACACATCTATTTCTATTGGTACTTCTCAGTCAGAGAGAGAGAGGAATATCGATGATAGTAAATGATTGAATGGTTGCCTCCTGCTTGCCCCCTACTGGGGAATCAAGCCTGCAACCCAGGCATGTGCACTTGTCAGGAATTGAATCTGGGATCCTTTAATTTGCAGTCTGACACTCTATCCACTAAACTAAAATGGCTAGGGCTTTTTTATTTTTAATACAGATTTTTTGTTTTGTTTTTTAAAAATATATTTTATTGATTTTTTTACAGAGAGGAAGGGAGAGGGATAGAGAATTAGAAACATCCACAAGAGAGAAACATCGATCAGCTGCCTCCTGCACACCTCCTACTGGGGATGTTCCTGCAACCAAGGTACATGCTCTTGACTGGAATCGAACCTGGGACCTTTCAGTCTGCAGGCTGACACTCTATCCACTACCAGGGGTCCTCAAACTTTTTAAAGTGGGGGCCAGATCACGGTCCCTCAGAAAGCTGGAGGGCCGGACTATATGAACTACTAATTCCTACTGTAACACCTCGGCTGCGCTCACTGCCCAAAAAACCTGGCTGGCCGGATCAGACTCCTCTGCGGGCTGCATATGGCCCACGGGCCGTAGTTTGAAGACCCCTGCCGGAAGCCAAACCGGGTAGGGCTAATACAGATTTTTAAAAAATTGATTTCAGAGAGGAAGGAAGAGAGAGGAGAGAGAGAGAAACATTGATCGGATGCCTCCTGCAGGCCCCCTACTAGGGATCAAGCCTGCACACTGGGCATGTGCCCTTGACTGGAATTGAACCTGGGATCCTTCAGTCTGCAGGCTGACATTCTATCCACTGAGGCCAACCATCTAGGGTTCCCTGGGTGATCTTATCCAATCCATGATGATGACACTCAAATACTTATCTCTATTCCTAAATATCTGTTCAATGAAACACAAACCAACCTATCAAAAACTGAACTCATCTTTTCTCCTTATCCACACCTCAAAAAAAACTGATCCTACCCGTGTTCTTTTTTTAAAAATAGTTTTAAAAATATATTTTTATTTATTTCAGAAAGGAATGTAGAGGGAGAGAGAAAAACATCAATGATGAGAGAGAATCATTGATCAGCTAGCTGCCTTCTGCATGGCTCACATTGGGGATGGATCTGCAACCTAGGCATGTGCCCTGATCTGGAATCGAACCATGACCTCCTGGTCATAGGTTGACACTCAACCACTGAGCCATGGTTGGCCAAGCTACTCTTGCGTTCTTTATTTGAATGACACAACTGGCAGTAGAGATGCCGAAGTGAAAAGCCTGCTTGTCTTGCCAAGACTGGTTTGGCTCAGTGGATAGAGCGTCAGCCTGCGAACTGAAGGGTCCCAGGTTCGATTCTGGTCAAGGGCATGTATGTACATTGGTTGCAGTCACATCCCCAGTGGGGGGTGTGCAAGAGGCAGCTGATCGATGTTTCTCTCTCATTGATGTTTCTAGCTCTCTATCCTTCTCCCTTCCTCTCTGTAAAAAAATCAATAAAATATATTAAAAAAAAAAAGCCTGCTGTAGCCCTCCTCCTCTTCCTGGGATCAACCAAGTAATGCTCATTGGACCTCCTAGATATCTCTATAGAGTTCACCCAGTTCTCTGCACCGACTGTGACCACTTAGTTCAGGCCTCATTCACTATGCAGTTGAGCAACTATAGTTGCTATCTCCACTGGTATCCCTGCTTCCTCTCTTATTCTTCCTGTAATCTAATTTCTACCCTACAGCCAGTGTAGAGATTAAATTTATACTCCCCTACTTAATGCTACTCCCCTACTTTAATCTTTCAGTTTCTCCATGACAGGATCAAGTTCAAACATGGGTTATAAAACCTTGCATGATCTGGCTCCTGTTTGTCCACCACAGCCTTAACTCTTTATAACCTGATTAAAAAAAAAAAAATTCCTCCTTCAAGGACATTTCCCTTCCTCCCCATTGATTCCAAAGAGAGAGAGCGAGCAAGGGAGAGGGAGAAGCATTGATTTGTTGCCTCATACACGCCCCCCTCCTCCCCCCACTGCTTATGGAACCTACAACCTGGGTAGGTGCCCTCAGCCGAAATTAAACCTTCGACCCTTCAGGAGTGGCTCTCTAACTACTGAGCAAACACCCTCCAGGGCCCTAATTCTTTTCATTGCTTGAATTGAGGATGTTCTTGCCTCTAACGTTCTCCTCCTTACAGGTCAGTTTCTTGGGCACATTTTCTCTGGACTTCCCCTTTGCTCCCACCTCATCTAGGTTAGGCGTCCCTGTTCTTCCCCTCCATAGCCAGGGTGCTGTGTAATTCATGGCACTGTATTGTATCTATAGGGAGTGAACTCTGGAGGACAGCCCCCGCCTCGGTCTTGCTTGCCACAGAGCGTCCAGCACCTAGGACAGGGCCCGGCACCAAGGAGGCGCACAGTGAATGGCGGACCCTGGGGAGAGGGGGTGCGGGAGGGCGGGCGTCCTCGAGGAGGCAGCGCTCCGCTCCGGGGCAGAGCCCAGTGCGAGGGTGTCAGGGAGGGAGCGCAAGACTTAAGTCCCTCCCCAGCCCGGTCGGCCCCGTGCTGCGGTGGCGCCGCGTCGGCTTCCGGTCCGACCTGCCGGAAGTGGAAGCACAGGCTTCCCATAATACCTCGCGGGGCGCCTATTCAAACCGCAGTGCGGAGAGGAGGTCGTGATGGCCGCTCTGGAGCCGGAGTTGCGGTCCTTGACCGCAGCCCCAGGTAAGGCATGGGGTCCGGGTCCCGGGATACTTGGGGGACTTGTTTGTTCCCTGCCGCCTCCCCCTCCCGTCCTATGTCCCCGGGCCCCCCTTTCCGGCCGGTCTTCCCCGCCGCCTTCCCGGGCTTCCCTCCCGGCTCCTGCTCGACCGGAGTGACTTCCAGCGCCGCACGGCCCAGGATCCCATTGGTTCACCCCTCTCGGGCGGCGTTCTGGAGCCCGCTGGACCACACGTTCTTTCAGTCCAGACCAGAGCCTCTGCTTTCCGAGCATCGGTCCCCGGCCTCAGAGTTGGACCCCCACCGCCACCACCCCGCTTTCTCACCGCCGCCGTCACTTACATCGCTTTAGGCGACTGGGATTAGGAGTCTTCCCGCCTCCACCACTCTGGAGTTTGCGAAGGGCATGTGCCTGTGTCGGGGTTAGGGTGCTCCTAGGGGATGAGAAGACTGGTTCTGGCCTTTTGAGTTTATAATTTTTCTCTTTCTTGTCCCCTGCCCACCAGATTTGGAGTGGTATGAGGAGTCGGAGGACACCCACGCCTCCCAGATAGAACTGCTGGAGACCACCACCGCCCAAGAACTCCCCAGCCGTCCCGAGGCTTTCTGCCCCCGGGACGGCCTGGTGCCCGTGGTCTTCCCTGGGCCTGTGAGCCAGGAAGGCTGCTGCCAGTTTACCTGTGAACTGCTAAAGCATGTCATGTACCAGCGCCAGCAGCTGCCTCTGCCCTATGAACAGCTAAAGCACTTCTACCGAAAATCTTCTCCCCAGGTAGGCACAGGCTGTCCGAGAAGGATGGTGGGGAGACTATGGCCGTTAGGAGGGAGGAAGGTTAAAAAGGAGGTCTAAGGAATCTTCAGGACTTGTCAGCCTGAGCAGCTGTAAGGAATGTGTTTCATCCCATGGTTTCTGTCACTTTGATAAACCTAACCCTCCCCACTTTTTTTCTTACTTTCTTTTTCTGAAACTCTTATTGTGCTACATTTGGACTTCACATATTGACCCTTTTTAATATCTTTTCTCTCCAATTAATATTTTTGTCTCTCTGTTTTTATGTTCTACTTTCTGGGGGGACTTCTTTGACTAATTTCTTTATTTAAAATATATTTTATTGATTTCAGAGAGAAGGGAATAGGAGAGATAGAAATATTGATAATGAGAGAGAATCATTGATTGGCTGCCTCCTGTACTCGGGTTTTAGGATGCAACCCTGGCATGTAACCTGACCGGGAATCAAACCATGACCTCCTACTTTATAAGTAGACAGACGCTCAATTACTGAGCCATGCTGGCTGGGCTGCATGTTCCTTTTTTTAATTAATTTTTAAATTTTATTGGGGGTGAGATTGGGCAACATGAAATATGGGTTTCAGGTGTGGATTCCTAAGTTACAAATCTATATAGCACCATGTGCCCACCGCCCACAGTCAAATCTCCTGTCACCTGTATGGTCCTTTCTAATAGTATCCTGTTTTGTGTCTGTATGAACCTCTCTTACCTGAAGATATCAATTACTTTATTTTTGAGGTTTTCCTATGTGCCTTGCTGTGTCTCTGTTTCTTTCAGATTCCTTTTCCTATTTGTTCTGATCTTTGTCTTTCATGTTAGGGGCTTTTTGTCTTTGTCTGGTGAATATTTAAGAATAAGTCACTAAAAGCTCTGTATGCATGGCCGGGTCTGATAAGACTTTAAGGATATTGGTGACAGCCTAGTGGTTTCTTTGGAGGACTCCTAAACCATATTAAAATGTCTTCTTTCTGAATGTTTTTGTTAAAATAATATATTTTATTGATTTTTACAGAGAAAGGGAGAAGGATAGAGAAAAGGATCAGCTGCCTCCTGCACACCCTCTATTGGGAATGTGCCTTCAACCAAGGTACATGCCCCTGACCGGAATCGAACCTGGGACCCTTCAGTCCAGACTGACGCTCTGTCCACTGAGCCAAACCAGTTAGGGCTGTTTTTGAGTGTTTTTACTATAGTTGATTTCTAATTTTATTACACTGTGATCTGAGAAGATGCTTGATATGATTTCAATCTTCTTGAATGTGTAGAGACTTGTTTTGTGTCCTAACATGTGGTCTGTCTTTGTGAATGACCCATGTGCACTTGAGAAGAATGTATATTCTGCAGCTTTGGAATAAAATGTTTCATAAATGTCAGTTAAATCCATCTGATCCAGTATGTACTTTAGAGACACTATGTCCTTGGTAATTTTTTGTCTGGAAGATCTATCCAGTGAAGTCAGGGGGTATTAAAGTCCCTAATATAACTGTATTGTTGTCAGTCTCTCCCCTTAAAGTTCTCTGGAAGATTTTTTACATAATTTGGTATTCCTATATTAGGTGCATATGTGTTAACCAAGGATATATCCTCTTTTTTTTTTTTTTTTTTTTTTTTTTTAATGTACCAAATACATGTTTTAATAGTTCAGCGTCTCTCTTGGTATAACACACAAACACTTTATTCCGAACTTCACATGTTTCAGGCTTATTCTCAAACCTTGTAGGCACACTGTCTCTAGGATCCCGAAACATTTGGTTCTCTGAAGGGTTATATCCTCTTGTTGGATCAATCCCTTTAGTATTATGTAGTGGCCTTTATTGTCTCTTGTGATGGCCTCATTTTGAAGTCTATTTTTCCAGATTTTTTTTCTTTTCCATTTGCATGGAAAGTTTTTTGTTTTTGTTTTTTAAATCAATCTTTATTGTTCATATTATTACAAAGGTTCCTCATTTCTTCCCCCCTCCACCAGGTTCCCACCCCACCCTCCGCCCCCTCCCCATCCCCCATTGTCCTCATCCATAGGTGCACAGTTTATGTTCAGTCTCTTCTTCCCTCCCTTTCCCCGATAGTAAATCCCTTTTCAGATAGTAAATCAGTTACTTAGCATTTTCTCATATCAAAAATACCTCCACATGCCCAATAATACACTTCACACAAAAGACATTTCCAAATAGGTCAACCTGCCTCATCCAGGCCCCACCCAAGGCACTCACAGATCAACACCCCAGCGCTATACTAACTCAACACATCCAGATCTAAGCCTTCATCACTTGATTCAGCAGACCCTCAAGTTCCCACAAAAGTTTTCAGCCATGTCTGAGAGGCAGCCGTGGGGGAGGGGCAGGCGAGGAGCGAGCTGTTCCTGGCCTGGCTGCTCCGGGCCTGGCCTCTGTTGCTCTGGTTCGTTCCACAGCCAGCTGCTCCAGGTCTGGTTACTGCCGTTCCCGACCTAGTTGCTCTGGACTTGGCAGTGGCTGCTCCGGGCCTGGCCGCTCCAGCCTGGCAGCCGCTGCTCCGGGCCTGGCCGCTCCCAGCCTGGCAGCCTCTGCTCTGGGCCTGGCCACACCCGACCCGGCTGCTCTGGGCCATTTGCATGGAAAGTTTTTTTCCTTCCTTCACCATCCATCCCATGTGTGTCTTTTGTTCTGAGGTGGGTCTCTTGTAGACAGCATATAGTTGGGTCATTTTGTATCCATTCAGCTACACTATGTTTTTTTGATGGGAACATTTAATCCATTTACATTTAAGGTTATTAATAGGTACTTATTATTGCCATTTTAATTCTGTACACCTAGGTTTCTATTTCTTCTCATTACAGCAGTCCGTTTAGCATTTTTTTTTTTTTTTTTTTTTTTACTGTTTGAAGTATTACAAATAGTATACATATGTCTCCTTTTTTCTCCCATTGGCCTGCCCCCAGTATCTCCTACTGCCCCCCCACACCCATGCCCTCACTCCCCCATCCCCCAGTGTCTTTTGCCCATTGGTGTGCTTATATGCATACATACAAGTCCTTCCGGTGATCTCTTACCTCCCCCCAACCTCCCCAGCCTTCCCACTGTAATTTGACATTCTGTTAGAGGCTTCTCTGCCTCTGTATCTGTCTTCTTGTTCATCAGGTTATAATGTTCTTTATTATCCATAAATGAGTGAAATCATGTGGTATTTTGATTTCACTGACTGGCTTATTTCACTTAGCATAATGCTCTCCAGTTCCATCCATGCTGCTCTAAATGGTAAGAATTCCTTCTTTTTTATTGCAGCATAGTATTCCATAGTACCATAGTTTTCTTTTTTTTTTTTTTTTTTTTTTTTTTTTTTTCAGGTTAAGCAAAAGAACAATTTATTGAAAGAAATATTATTATTATTTTTTTTTTAAAAAAAGGATTCTTAAAGAAAAGACAATTGCTCTCTTTATTGGAGGCCTTGAAACAGAATAAATGTGCTGTTGTCCAATGATTTTTCTTTTTTTTTTTTTTTTTTTTTTAAATCAATCTTTATTGTTCATATTATTACACAGGTTCCTCGTTTCTTCCCCCCTCCACCAGGTTCCCACCCCACCCTCTGCCCCCTCATCCTCATCCATTGGTGCACAGTTTATGTTCAGTCTCTTCCTCCCTCCCTTTCCCCGATAGTAAATCCCTTTTCAGATAGCAAATCTGTTACTTAGCATTTTCTCATATCAATAATACCTCCACATGCCCAATGATACACTTCACACAAAAGACATTTCCTAATAGGTCAACCTGCCTCATCCAGGCCCCACCCAAGGCACTCACAGATCAACACCCCAGCGCTATACTAACTCAACACATCCAGATCTAAGCCTTCATCACTTGATTCAGCAGACCCTCAAGTTCCCACAAAAGTTTTCAGCCATGTCTGAGAGGCAGCCGTGGGGGAGGGGCAGGCGAGGAGCGAGCTGTTCCTGGCCTGGCTGCTCCGGGCCTGGCCTCTGTTGCTCTGGTTCGTTCCACAGCCAGCTGCTCCAGGTCTGGTTACTGCCGTTCCCGACCTAGTTGCTCTGGACTTGGCAGTGGCTGCTCCGGGCCTGGCCGCTCCCAGCCTGGCAGCCGCTGCTCCGGGCCTGGCCGCTCCAGCCTGGCAGCCGCTGCTCCGGGCCTGGCCGCTCCCAGCCTGGCAGCCTCTGCTCTGGGCCTGGCCACACCCGACCCGGCTGCTCTGGGCCATTTGCATGGAAAGTTTTTTTCCTTCCTTCACCATCCATCCCATGTGTGTCTTTTGTTCTGAGGTGGGTCTCTTGTAGACAGCATATAGTTGGGTCATTTTGTATCCATTCAGCTACACTATGTTTTTTTGATGGGAACATTTAATCCATTTACATTTAAGGTTATTAATAGGTACTTATTATTGCCATTTTAATTCTGTACACCTAGGTTTCTATTTCTTCTCATTACAGCAGTCCGTTTAGCATTTTTTTTTTTTTTTTTTTTTTTTTACTGTTTGAAGTATTACAAATAGTATACATATGTCTCCTTTTTTCTCCCATTGGCCTGCCCCCAGTATCTCCTACTGCCCCCTCCACACCCATGCCCTCACTCCCCCATCCCCCAGTGTCTTTTGCCCATTGGTGTGCTTATATGCATACATACAAGTCCTTCCGGTGATCTCTTACCTCCCCCCAACCTCCCCAGCCTTCCCACTGTAATTTGACATTCTGTTAGAGGCTTCTCTGCCTCTGTATCTGTCTTCTTGTTCATCAGGTTATAATGTTCTTTATTATCCATAAATGAGTGAAATCATGTGGTATTTTGATTTCACTGACTGGCTTATTTCACTTAGCATAATGCTCTCCAGTTCCATCCATGCTGCTCTAAATGGTAAGAATTCCTTCTTTTTTATTGCAGCATAGTATTCCATAGTACCATAGTTTTCTAATCCACTCAGCAGCTAATTGGCATTTAGGCTGTTTCCAAATCTTAGCTACTGTAAATTGTGCTGCTATGAACCTAGGGGTGCCTATGCCCTTTCTGATTGGTGTTTCTGTTTTCTTAGGATATATTCCTAGAAGCGGTATTACTGGGTCAAATGGCAGTTCCATTTTTTAAATTTTGAGGAAACTCCATACTGTTTTCCACAATGGCTGCAGCAGTCTGCATTTCAACCAACAGTGAAGGAGGTTCCTTTTTCTCCGCATCCTCTCCAGCACTTGCTGTTTGTTGATTTGTTAGTGATAGCCATTCTGACAGGTTCCACAAAAATAACTTTTCCCTGCAGTCTCTGAGAGTGTTTTTAATTAGGTGATATTTTGTACTGGGCTTAGTAATGAAAAGCAAGCATTTAAAGAGAAAAAGAGCCAAAGTAAGTGCGCAAACGTGGACTCTGCTTATGTCTCTGCACGTCTTTTTCCCCTCGCACGGCACAGCTGGTTTACTGGCAAAGCTTCAGGCTGCCTTTTTGTGCCCAACCCAGCTATGGATTGATTTCTAGAGTTTTGTCGGTAGCCCTGTAGATCCCCTTCCCCATTTGCGGACTATGGTGGCCCCAATGTCCGCAAATTTTGTGGGATGCAGACTTCCTCTGAACCTCTAGATCCCGCTGTGCATGTTTCTCCCTTCAGCCTGGATCGCAGACCTCACTTTTCTCTGATCTTTCTGTGACAAGGTGCAGAGCTCATCCGAGTCCACATATTTGTGCTGCTTGAGACTCGTTTGTGGGTTTACAACGGGTTCGCAGCTGGTCCCTGGGAGTTGTGGTTGTAGGGTCCCGGGAGGTATCTGATTCTTCCCGATTGAAGGTAAGGCTAGGCTTCCCTTCACAGCCTCTCTCTCCTTCAAGATGGCACAGTCTCTGCGGCAGAGCTGAGATTTCAGCAGCAGTGGATGCTGCCCGGTCAGGGGGGCCCAGCCCGGCAGTCCCCAGCAGTCCTTTGGAATATAGCTGTCCCTCACTCACAAATAGACATTCCCTGTACCCTTTACATTTCTTATAGTGCTAACTTGGTAGTGATACACTCCTTTAGCCTTTTTTTTTGGTCTGGGAAGCTCTTTATTTGACCATCTTTTTTGAGTGATAGCCTTGCTTTATATAATAATCTTGGTTTCAAATCCTTGCTTTCCATTACTTTGAGTACTTCATGCCATTTCCTTCTGGCCTGTAGAGTTTCTGATGAGAAATAAGGTGTTAGCATTATGGGAGCTCCTTTGTAGGTAACAGTTTGCTTTTCTCTGGCTTCCTTTAAGATTCTCTCTTTTACTTTAATTTTGACATTTAAAATATATATATATATATATATTATTGATTTTTTACAGAGAGGAAGGGAGAGAGATAGAGAGCTAGAAACGTCAATGAGAGAGAAACATCGACCAGCTGCCTCCTGCACACCCCCCACCGGGGATGTGCCCGCAATCAGTGTACATGCTCCTGACCGGAATCGAACCTGAGACCTTTCAGTCCGCAGACTCGACGCTCTACCACTGAGCCAAACCGGTTTCGGCTAATTTTGACATTTTTATTATGATGTCTGGGCATGGGCCTGCTTGGGTTCTCTTGTTTGGGGTTCTCTGTGTCTCCTAAACTTGTGTGACTTTTTCTTTACCAGGTTCAGGAAGTTTTCTGCTATTATTTCTTCAAACCCGTTCTCTGTCCCTTTCTGCCTCTTTTGGCACACCTGCTATTCAAATATTGCTATGTTTCACATTGTCCCACAGCTCCCTTAAGCTGTCCTCCTGTTTTTTAGTTATTTTTCTCTTTTTGATTCTCTTGATTTTTTTCAACTATGTCCACTAATTCATTGATTCGATCCCCAACTTCCCCTAATATGTTGTGTATTCCTTTCAATGTGTTCTTTACTTGTTCTATGTCATTCTTTATTTCTGGTTTCATAGTTACTATATCTTTTCTCATGCTGTTGAGCATCTTTATTATAAAACTACACAATCTTCATTCCTGTTATCACTCACATTATAGCAAAATTTGCCACCTACTATATCACCAAATCTTGACTGTTAGTTGCTTATTTCTGAATGCCCTCCTACTTCAGAAAACTGTCTTCAGTGTTCTAAGTGTGGGATGATTATGGTTTTGTACAAAGAATGTATTTTCCTTTTTGACATATTGCCCTCTAATAAAACCCAGTGTCTTAGCTGTGGCCGTTCATTGAACTGGAAATCCAGACCCATAGTCTACTGTATCCCAACCAACAGGGTTCATCAAAGGTCACTAGCTTTCTCCACCTCGCCTTCTCTCTCACCAGTCTTTGTCTCCATAGGCAGAGGACACGGTGAAGAAGAAACCCTGGGCCATCACTGAGGCAAGCAGCAGGAAATGCCAACAAACCCTGGAAGAACTGGAGAGCGTCCTCAGCCACCTAGAGAGTCTCTTTGCCCGGACACTCGTACCACGAGTGCTCATCCTCCTTGGGGGCAGTGTTCTAAATCCCAAAGAATTCTACGAGCTTGACTTGTCCCGCTTGGCCCCCCACAACGTGGACCAGAGGGTGAGCACAGCAGCTTGTTTGCGCCTTATCTTCCGAGCCATTTTTATGGCTGATGCCTTCAGTGAGCTTCAGGCTCCTCCACTCATGGGCACCATTATCATGGCACAGGGGCACCGCGACTGTGGAGAAGATTGGTTTCGGCCCAAGCTGAACTACCGAGTGCCCAAACGGGGCCACAAACTGACTGTGACCCTGTCCTGTGGCAGACCCTCCATCCCAGTCACAGCCTGGGAGGATTACATTTGGTTCCAGGCACCGGTGACATTGAAAGGCTTTCATGAGTGAATAGCGCTGCTTCTTAATCAAGAACACAATGGCTAAATTATCTTTCCTTCTCTGGCATCAAGTCACCTGTCTCTTGCTTGGAAGTAGAGTTGCTTCCGGGTGAGAGGAAGATTCTGTCCTGGCTGCCTGCTTCCCCTTCTCGGACTTCCTGGTGAGCTGAAGGTGTGACTGGGACTGTAATCATCATCATTGAACAACATCTCTGTGAACCGAAGGTTGACTGGGTCAGACTTTACTGTTTGGGGTTGGAAAGCAAACACAGGCCCATAGACACTCTTATGGAGGGGTCCTTTTTCTGTGGCCTTTCAGAATTTTTACCAGAGATATATAAATGTTAGTGTGACTCATGAATTTAAATATAAAATGAATGAATTTATATTAAACTTTCCCGAAACTCTTGGCTTAAAGAGACTTTCCAGGCTTGAGGCTAGAAACTTTTGTCTTTCTACTTAGTCTCTTATTTATTTATTTTTAGTTTCTCACCACCAGTTCTTTCTCTTCATCAGCTTCAGGCCAGTCTGGGAAGTGACTTGGCCAAGGATCTAGAGCAGTTTGATGTCAGTTGGGACTAGAGTACTCATTAGCTAACTCCTAGCCCAACATTCTTTCCTTGTCACATATTGGTTTTGACCCTTAAAATGCGTGCCTAGAGCAGAGGTCACACAGGAATGGAAATGAAAGACTAGGCCAAGGAAAGAAAACAGAGGATCTTTGAAAAATGTGATTTAACTGTAGGCTGAGGCCCCAGGATCGCCCCTTGGGATCTGCTCTCCAAGACCAAACGCCCCTTCTGGAGTTTAGCCCTGCCTGTCTCCATTGGCAGTGCCTGCTTATTTCTTGGAAGCTGAATACATAGTCCTCACCCTGCTGGTGTTGCAGATAGGAATGTGTCTATAAATGGGGACTGTATAAATATATGCTATTTTTATGTTCTAAGAAGAATGTTTTATGTTTTGTCAAGAAAAGAAAATGGTTTATATTTTATGCTCTCTTTTAAGCACTTCACATACATTTTTATCTAATCTAACAGCCTTGTTTTTTGACATTGACCCCATTTTATAGACGAGGCTTGGGTAGATTGAATAACTTGCCCAAGAGTGGAAACCTGAATTCAAACCTGGCACTAGCGGCTGAATGCTTTACACTGCTGTGCATCTGTGTGGTTTCACTGTGAAATATTAATCAGGATTTGCCCTGCCAAGGTGGCAGTATTAGAAAGCGGCAGGACTCCTCTTTCTGGCTTCATATTGTGTTTCCCTACATGGGACCTGACATTAATAGGTTCGGAGTAAATATGGAATCAATAAGAACAAAAGGTTTGGGTTCTTTTCTGTGCTCTGACCACCTGAAGCATATTCCACCAGCTAGAATATGCTCCAGTGGCTGTTTTTTCTACCTACAGAAGAGGAACAGGCCATATCGCCCACTTGGGAAAGGACAGGCTGAGAGGGGTCTGACTGAACAGAGGGAGAGTTGAAACGGAATTTTAAATTATTTTGAGGTGGAAGACACATTAACCCATGTCAGCACCCTCAAGTACTGATTTTAAAAGGCTTCATAAACAATATCTGGACAACCAAAACAAAGTAATTATCTGGGTAATTTAGACACTCACTTCTCTATTGGCTTGGCATGGGGCCCAGGTCATTTTGATTTCTTGAGTCTTCTCCAAAGGAATTCAGAAATTAAAAGATCAGTGTGTGCATATATATATATATTTTCTGTATGTTATGTCAATTTTATTTTATCTTTTCCATCACCACTTATCCCCTTTATACCTTCTTACACCTCGTCCACATCCCCCCTGCAAGGATTAGTTAATATTAATAAATCCCACCTTCCCCTACAACAAGCTTGCTAAGGCACCTGCTTGTTTGACCTTGGCTGGGGCCTCCAGAGATGAGTGTGAAGACAGGAAGCGAAGAGCCCCAGCTGCAGTGAGGTTCTACCCTTTCATGTGTTGCTACCATTTGGGCTTAAAAGCAACTGCTGTGGGGCCAGGGAGGTAAATAGGTGGTAGCTGAATGCAAAGTGAAGTCTGTAAATGTCACCCTTTTTTGTACCCCTCTTCCCACCCCCTTGCCCCATTGCCTCGGTCTTCATTTGCCATGTAGGTGGAATAGTACTAAGGAAGGGGTAGAGAGAGACATCTGAAGGTTGAAGAGAATGAAATGGATGGACCCCATCATGTAAGACCTGTAATTGGCAGTGGATTGTCTTGGATGCCTAGACTTTTAGTGCCAAGAGCATTTAAAATTATTTTCTCCACAGACAATTCTGAGGCCAAGAAGGGGCATGACTGAAGTGAAATAATACAGCTGGTGTCACTATTGTGTTGTTTTTCTTCCCAAGCCTCATTACATATACAATGAGGACTCAATAAATGTAATTTATATGAGAGGACTTGGGAAAGGCAAAAATATCTACAGAATTGGGACCACTAGGGACCACTAACCTCATACTATTTTAGGGGAAACACCGCGGAACCCGCGATAACTAAAATACATCCTGTCACCAACCCGAGGAAGGAAGGCGGGGGGTGGGGGGGTGGGGGGTGGGGCTAGAGTGTGCCCAAGCTTTTAGGAACCGCTCCGAGGGGATCCGGGCTGGCCAGAGGCCCCGGAAGGGCTGGGCCACGGGTGGGTGTGATCCTACTTCCTGCCTGAGGGAAGGGCGGGGCTTTGGGTCTCCATGGAGACGGCTTCTCCTAGCAACCTGGAGGTTGTTGAGCCGAGCGGCCGCGGAGATGGACGCGGACAGTCTCCTGCTGTCCCTGGAGCTGGCGTCGGGCAGCGGGCAGGGCCTCAGCCCGGACCGCCGGGCCTCGCTGCTCACTTCCCTTTTGCTGGTGAAGCGCGACTATCGCTACAGTCGGGTGCTCTTCTGGGGCCGCATCCTCGGCCTCGTCGCCGATTACTACATCGCGCAGGGCCTGGATGAGGACCAACTGGCTCCGCGCAAGACCCTGTACAGGTGCAGCGGCGGCCGCTGGGCGATACGGAGGGAGGGCCACTGGGGGGCCTGGAAGGGAGAGGGGGTGGTGGTAGGAACCGAAAGGGGCGGGGGCTGCGGGGTCAAGGAAGCAGGTGGAGAAGGGATTTGCAGAGAAGGGAAGGCGGGTGGGGAGAGGGTCCGGAGGCCAGGGACCTGAGAACCCAAAGGAGCCTGAGGGGGAGGGAGGTGGGGTGGACGAGGTCTGAGGGCGGGCCTCTGGGAGGACACTTCTGTGCTTGGGGCAAAGGGACGCAGGAGAAACAGACGGGTGGGCTTCCAATGGAGTCTGGGCCAAGGGCGGAGGCGAAATTTCCTAGATAACGGAGACCTGGGTTAGAAACCAGGTGCCGCCTGGTGCGGGCGTGGTAAGAGTTGAATTTGGAGAAGTGTCAGAGGTTGCGTGGAGCTATTTGGAAGCATATCCAGAGACCATCTTCCATGGAAGTGCTGGCTCACAGCCCCAGGCTCTCTAGGAAGTGGTGGAGGAGTGTGGAATGGGAGGACAGGGATTTAGGACCGGGGAAAGTTACTTGGACATTACCATTCAGGACCATGCAGCTGCTTTTTGACGATCCCAGCGTTTATGGGGAGTTCAGCACCTCACAAAGCAGCCTGTTCGGCGCAGGAAGTTGGAGACTTCATTTATCGATCCACACATCAGTCCAGCACTGGTTGGATGCATCTTGATTTGGCATTGCAAAGAGGGCTGAGCCTAACCCCATCTCCAAGCTATTCACATCTTAGGGAGGAAGACCCGTGTGTACCCTGCAATCACAGCAAAGCGTGTTAAAACTAGAACAGAGCTGCTATTTCTTTTTTTTTAAAGATATGTTTTTATTGATTTGAGAGAGAGAGAGAGAGAGAGAGAGAGAGAGAGAGACATCAATAGGCTGCCTCCTGCACCCTACTGGGTGTGGAACCACAACCTGGGCCTGTGTCCTGACCGGGAATTGAACCAGAGACCTCTTGTTGCATGGGACCAACTAAGTCACGCTGGCCAGGGCAAAACTAGAATAGAGTTGTACACAAAGTGAGACCAAGGTGGGCATTCCCCTAGAGAGCAGTTAAATAAGGTCATTAGGAAGTAACTTCTTTGCCATCTGAAAGATGAACAGATTTCCAGGAAGGTGTGAGGAAAAGGCATGCCAGTTAGAAGGAACAGTTGTGCATACTTGGCTGCAGCTGGCTTGGAGTGTTTGGAAGAACAGCTGCAGCCAGTATGGAACAGGTAACCATAGCAGTGGCAGCAGAAGGTGTTAGTAGAACTGGATGGAGAAGCCTAGAGGTTTGAACCTTGTCCTGGGCTATGGGAGCCATGGAAGGGCTACGAGCAAGAGCCTGCTTTGATCTGAGTGGGCAGAGTGGCCAGAAGTGGGTAAGCATTTAGAAATCCATTGTAGCGCCCAGCTAAGGGAATTGAGAGGCCTGGTTTAGATGTAAGTGGTAGAACTGTCAGGATTTGTGACTGGGGGAGGTGAAGAAGTCAAGGCTGGCTCCTTCCAGTTTAGCAGCTGATTATGTGCTGATGCCACCTACTGGGGGAGAATTCAAAAAGCAGGACAGCCCTAGCTGGTTTGCGTTAGTGAATAGAGGTCAGCCTGTGGACTGAAGGGTCCTGGTCAAGGGCACATACCTCAGTATGCAGGCAGGATCCCCAGCCCTGATCAGGGCGCATGTGGGAGGCAACCAATCAATGTGTGTGTCTCACATCATTGTTTCTTTCTCTGTCACTCTTTCTTCCACTCTGCCAATGGAAAAATATCCTGGAGTTAGGACTAAACAACAAAAGAAGCAAATCGAATTAAAGAAGGAGGTTAGACCTAGTGAATTGGATGTGTGGTGCCTGGGGGCAAAGGAGGTGTGTTAAAGTTCAGATCTGGAGTCCGGGAGAAAAATGTGAACTGAAGACAGAGATCTGAGACTCATTTCATTTTATCCCATAAGTTTTTCTTTCTTCAGCACTCACTATGTGCCAGGCATTGATCCAGGCACCAGGAATTCATTGGTAAACGAGGCAAAGCCCTTGTATTCATAAAGTTTACATTATAGTGTGTGTGGAGGAGGAGGGGAGGTAGACAACAAATAAGCATGTGTTGCTGTCAGCTGGTGCTAAGTGGTAAGGGGACAGAGGATGCAGGAATGGTTACCGCTTTAAATAAGGTGGTCAGGATAGCCTCTGATAAGGCAGTGTTTGAGAAAGACCTGAAGCAACTGAGTGAGCTATGTGCTTATTTGAGGGAAAAGAATTCCAGGCTCGTGCAAAGGCCCTAAGGCACATGTGTCAAACACAAGGCCCGCGGGCCAAATCCGTCCCGCCAGGCCTTGCAATGTGGCCCGCACCGCACTGTCATCACTGCACTCCGCTGCGTTTCCATCACAATGACAGTTTATGACTGTTCAGTAAACCATTCGGCCCGCGATTTAGGCTGGATTTTAGATTTTGGCCCCTTCTCTGATTGAGTTCGACACCCCTACGGGCCTAAGGTGTGTGCTTACTGTGTTTGTGAACCCATATAGGCCAGAGGGGCTAGAGAGGGGTGAGGACGGGGCATTGCAGGACATAAGGTCAGAGAAGTAAGGGGCTGGAGACATTCATGCAGGGCCTAGAGGGGCACTGTAAGGACTTGGTCCAACGGGAAGCCATAAAATGGTTCTGCACAGACGCACGGTCTGGCTTAGGTTTTAACACAAGGAGGAGTGAGTATGGAAGTTGGGAGATCAGTTAGGAGGCTACTGCAGTAACCAGGCAAGTGTAGATGATGACTTGGCCCAGGGGAAAAGCAGTTTGAGATGGTTGGTTGGATTCTGGATACTGATTAGTCATTAGCTAGGGCTTTGGGAGGCAATTGGGTGAGACTCTAGAGAGAAAAGAGGGGTGAGACTAGATCCCTGGAAATACTTAAGGCACTGGAGCAGGGAGAAGGAAATATCAAAAGAAGTAGGAATGGAGCCCAGCTGGCATGGCTCAGTAGTTGAGCGCTGACCTATGAACCAGGAGGTCACGGTTCAATTCCCAGTCAGGGTACATGTCCAGGTTGCGGGCTTGATCCCCAGAGTGGGATGTGCAAGAGGCAGCCAATCAGTGATTCTCTCTTATTTCTGTTCCTATTTCTGTGTTTCTATCTCTTCCTCCATCTCCCTTCCTCACTGAAATCAATAAAAACATATATATATTTTTTAAAAAAGAAGTAGGAATGGAAATGCAATTGCGGTCTTTCAGGGCATTCCATGGATAGCTTTCTCCTAAGTAGTTTCTTGGGGTGGAGGGGGCAGAGATCCTGGTGCACTGGCCAGAGAGTGGAAGTGGGGGAAAGGAGGGCTCCCAGAGGGCACATGGTCCTGAGATTATTGCTCAGAGCGGGGGCAGAGGAGGAAGGGATAGGAAAGGGGCACTTTCTAGAGGGGCATGGGCTTGAGGGCTGTTGTGTTAGAAAGCTGGGAAGTTTTTATATTCAGGAGGCCCTGGAGAGTGAAGGCAGGAAAGATGAGCTGAGAGCAGGCTGGGGACACAGGGCCTGAGTGAGAGGGGTGGGAGGATGTCCTCGCTCATTGGGAAGTGAGAAAGAAGGGACTGGGCTGGCTAGTGCTCCTGGAGACCTCAGAGGAGAGGGCCTTGAGCCTGGGCCCGGCTTTCCTGAGAAATGGGGACGATGCCGTGCTGTGGACTCAGTAGGCAGACTGAGCATGACTTAGGGGCCCACCGAAGCAGAGGCGCCTGTAAAATTCAGCTTCCAGAACTCATCCGGGACCTTATAGTCCAGATATCTGGGAAGAAGCTCTTGGAACTTCAGCATACATGGGCTTTTTGTGACCTTTAAAAAAATAAAATGGAATTTGCATCACATACGGGGCTGGGGTGTTTCTCGGGCCTCACCTTTGGGAGAAGAGGTGGTGGCAGGAAGCCCGAGCGGGAGGAGGAGTTGGAAACCAGGGTGGTGTGGGTGTTGTTGGCAGCCTGAACTGCATGGAGTGGAGCCTCTTGCCTCCGGCCACAGAAGAGATGATAACACAGACATCTGTGGTGAAGGGCCGCTTCATGGGGGACCCCTCCCATGAGTATGAATACACCGAGCTGCAGAAGATGAACGAGGGTGATAAGGTCTATGAAGAAGAAATAGTGGTGAGTGAACATGAGAGAGGAGGAGGGGCCGAGGGAAGAGGGCCAGGGGCATCCAAAACCCAGCCCAACAGAAATATGGTGACAACAACATAGCAGCACCGCCCCTGAGCAGCAGTGTGGGGAGTGGACGGTCAGCTCTTGAGGAGCCTGGCTCTGAGGTAAGGGCATGGGCACAAGCTCTTACATTTTTGTACCAGTTGTTTTCCTAGATAAGTAATCCATATAGTTCAAAATTCAAATTTACAGAAAGGTATATCGAAGAGTGTCTCCAAGCCCTGTCTTCTGGTCACCCAGGTCCTTTTCTGGGGGGCAGTAATGTAACCATTTTGCGTGTGTGTGTGTGTGTGTGTGTGTGTGTTTGTGTGTGTGTGTGTGTATCCAAATCTTTCATAAACTGTCATTGTGATGGAAACGCAGCGGAGTGCAGTGATGACAGCGCAGTGCGGGCCACATTGCAAGGCCTGGCGGGACGGATTTGGCCCGCGGGCCTTGTGTTTGACACATGTGCTCTAGGCGTTTGAAATGCAGACTAATGGGAGGTGGGGGATAAGGATCTGCATTTGAGCACATTCCCAGGGGATTCGAATTCACTTTTTTAAAAAATATATATTTTATTGATTTTTGTACAGAGAGGAAGGGAGAGAGACAGAGAGTTAGAAACATCAATGAGAGAGAGTCATCGATCAGCTGCCTCCTGCACACCCCCCACTGGGGATATGCCCGCAACCAAGGCACATGCCCTTGACCGGAATCAAACCCGGGGCCCTTCAGTCCCCAAGCCGACGCTCTATCCATTGAGCCAAACCGGTCCCGGCCAAATTCACTTTTAAATGTGTGAAGCTCTGTCACCTGAGACAGCAAATACCTCTACATATTCCCTTGTTGTCTTCCAAACAAAACAAAACAAAACAAAACAAAATGGCAGCATGTTATACATACCACTCTGCACCTTGCATTTTTCACCTAACAATACACTCTGAAGATTTTTCTATATCAGTGCCTTAAAGAGCCTCCCCACTCTTTTTACCATGTGTGAATGCAACATAATTTCACCTGTGATGTTTTCATGGCAATGGAGGTTTCCAAGGTTTAGCTCTGACAAGCAGTGATCTTGTCCATACATCATTTCCACTGGATGCAATCTATCTGAATGACCAACTCCTAGAAATGGAAAGCTAGGTCAGAAAAGGAGCCCAACTTTTGAAACTAGACAAAGCCAGAATTCAAAACACAGTGAACCTAGGTGATCCCCAAAGTCTGGGTCCAACACCCACTTCCTACCTGACAAGCTTAACTTCCCTTCAGTTTTATTTTCTGTAAAATTTGGATCATTATATTTGCTCCTCAGGCTTGTGCAGATTAAATGAGATGTCATTTTCTGAAACCCCATCTCCCGCTTTGTAAAGAATTCCAGTGGATAGCCCATGGGAAATAGGTGGCCAAGTGACTCTGGGGGCCCTTGGTGACATGTTTTCCCTGTCAGGTGCTATTTCCCCCCAACATCTCTATGAAATCCTTTTGCTCAGGGTTACCCTTGATATTGATTGTAAACCAAATCTCTTTGGCATAAAGATGTGATAACATGGGCTGACGCTTGGGAAATATGGAGTGATGCTTTGTCAAATCAAAGAGTAGGATATGAAACTATAGAAGCTATGATTAAATTGTGCTTTAAATATATAATTAAAAAAGATAAAAGGAAGTATACCAATATATTATCACTAATTATCTTTAGGAGGTAGGATTATGAATGGTTTTAATTCTCAGGTATTCTATAAAATATTTCTGATTACCCAAGTAGTTTACAGTAAGCATGATTGCTTTTATATTTTCAAAAGGCAAAATAATCAACATTTAATCTGACGATAAGATAGCATGCTTCCGGAAGGGTACAGAAACTATTAACTGTGGTTTTCCCCAGTGAGGGCAACTGGGGGACGAGGGATGAGGTGAGACTTTTATTTTTTTTTTTTTAAGTTTTAAATATTGCACCACCAGTATGTATTACTAATTTTAAAAAGAAAGAAAATCTTTTTAAAAAAATATATTTTATTGATTTTTTACAGAGAGGAAGGGAGAGAGATAGAAACATGGATGAGAGAGTCATCAATCAGCTGCCTCTTGCATGCCCCCTACTGTGGATGTGCCCGCAACCGAAGTACATGCCCTTGACCAGAATCCAACCTGGGACCTTTGAGTCCGCAGGATGACGCTCTATCCACTGAGCCAAACCGGTTTCGGCGAAAGAAAATCTTGATAGGAGGAGAGGGAGGGCTCACCCAGCATGATTTTTCATGGACCGGGCATCTACACGGTGGTGACCGAGGTCAGATGGTTATGCAGAGGGCCCTGCACCAGGAGTGAGTGGGCACAGTGCCCTGGCAGGGAGGCTTGTCTCCTGTCTCCTCAGATCCGGATCAAGGAGGAGACCCGCTTGGTGTCCATCATTGACCAGATAGACAAGGCTGTGGCTATTATCCCCCGAGGCGCCCTCTTTAAGAGTCCTTTTGGACCTACCCATGTCAATCGGACCTTTGAAGGTGAGTTCTCTGACATCTCTCCCATGGGCAGGAGGACATCCTTCCTGAGCATAGCCAGACACACATGTGGGAGTCTGTGCAAAACTGCCCACTTCCTCAGAAAAGAAACAGCTGTGACCACATCAGGTGAGAGGATGTGTCCAGTGACCTGGCATTGGTGGCTTCCCCAGTCACTGGACCCTGCCTCGTTTCTGCCTGAGGGTGGGAGAGCATTTGGCCATCTGAGTCTCAGGTCTTTCCATGGGTCTGGCCTCCCTGCCTTTCCCCACCTTTCTCCTCAGTGGTCTCTCCTCATTGCAGGATCTGGGCCAAATTTGGGGGGAGGGAACACTATTCCCTCTTCTCCCTTCAGTTCTGTCAGTAGCTGACTGAGTAACTTGCAAGCTCCCCCACATGTTCCCCATGCACAGAGAAAGTGAGCTGTGGGGCTCCCTTCCCACCTGCTACCTCTTTTCAGGACTGACCTTGTCCGAAGCTAAGAAGCTCAGTTCCTACTTCCACTTCAGGGAGCCAATTGAACTGAAGAACAAGACCTTGCTTGAGAAGGCAGACCTAGACCCCTCCCTGGACTTCATGGACTCCTTGGAGCATGACATCCCCAAAGGTAATAGTCTGCTACTCAGAAAACCGTGGATCTGCCCTCCGGCCAGAGCGGTAGGCCATGGCCCTGCCATTCTCCTCTGAGAGTGGAACTAAAGCCTGGCTCCACTGTCAGAGTGGAGTGGGTCAATGTGGGTGCTTGAGGGTGGGCCTTCCCCAGGGTCCAATACAAGTTTCAGCTCATAGGAAGTGGGGGGTAAATGTTTGCAGACACAAGGGTTGTCTTCCATATGCTTTCACAGACAAGAAGTCTCTCGACTTTCTAATCAATCTTGAATAGAGGCACACATCCATCTCTGTTAGTTTGGGGTTAGATCCAGTGTTTGGTACATAGCTGGTACTCAATAAGTAGGTGCTGATTGACTGAGCATCTGCCTACTAAGGATATTTGCTTCCTGCTATGTGTATGGGACTTTTAAATCTTAAAACATACAGTAGGGGTGTCGAACTCAATCAGAGAAGGGGCCAAAATCTAAAATCCAGCCTAAATCGCGGGCCGAATGGTTTACTGAACAGTCATAAACTGTCATTGTGATGGAAACGCAGCGGAGTGCAGTGATGACAGCGCGGTGCGGGCCACATTGTAAGGCCTGGCGGGACGGATTTGGCCCGCAGGCCTTGTGTTTGACACATGTGACATACAGCTTCAGAGGCCTTCCTATGCTTCAGGACACGCCTGGCCCACACATGCACCTTTGGGTGGTTGGGTCACAGAGACCCATCTCCATCACCTGAGCTTCACCGTAGAGCACGTGTTCTGGGAAGATGCTCTTGCTTGGATGCTGGACCCCAGGGCAGGTGCCAGGCTCTGGGCAGTCTGGGGCACACCCAAGACACTGACTCAGCGCCTCTAACTCCTTCTGTCTACATGTCTGGCATTTCTGAGAACTGGAGGGATTTGTTGTTGATGACGGCAATGATGATAACAACTTATAAAAGCAGTGGCACTGCTTATTGTGTGCTAGGCACTGTACTCAACCCTTTGTATACCTTATCTCATTTTAAGATTCACAGCCAACCTAAGAGGTAGATATTGTTATTATCCTCATTTTATAGACAAAGAAACAGAGGCTCAGAGTTAAACCCAAGGGCACAGTAAGTGTCAGAGAATGAGACTTCAGGATTCTGGCATTAACTGTGGTGTCAAGGAGATGGTGACCCCCATCTTTTTTTTTTTGTCCTCACTTGAGGATATGTTTTACTGATATGTGTGTGTGTGTGTGTGTGTGTGTGTGTGTGTATGTGTGTGTGTGTGTGAGAGAGAGAGAGAGAGAGAGAGAAAGAGAGAGAGAGAGAGAGAGAGAGAGAGAGAGAGAGAGAGAGAGAGAGAGAGAGAAACCAGTGTGAGAGAGAAACATCAGTCGTTGCCTCCTGTATGCTCCCTGATCAGGGATCGAATCCGAAACCTTTTTGGTTCATGGGATGATGCTCCAACCAACCGTCAGGGTGATGGTGTTTCCTTTTAAATAGACAATGGGAATGGACCACTAGAGGAAACACTTTTGAGAAGCAATGAGGCACCCAGGTGGGCTGGAACTCGGGATGGAGGTGAGATGCAGTAGTGGTTAAGGTGAGGGCTCTGGAATTAGACAGCCTGGGTTGGAATCCTGAATCTGTCACTTGCTAGCTGTGTGACACTGGTAAGTCCCTCAGTTACCTTGTGCCTCAATTTTCTCATTTTGAAAGGGGAATAATGAAATTTTCTACATCACTGGGTTGTTATGAGAATTAAGAATTAACACATATAGCACAAAGTAAGTCTAACAGTGCCTAACACATAAGAATTCATGTAAAAATTATATATAAAAGAGAAAGAGAAAGATTGATGTGGCTGCCATAGATAGAGCCCCCAACCTTTTGGTACAGGAGACGATGCCCAACCGAGCCATGCTGGCCAGGACTTATTGATCTATTTTTAGTGGCAAAGGCCTGAGAGGTGGGTTGGGCAGGACTAAGAGGGCCTAGAGGGCCAAAGGTAGGAGGCTTAGATCAAGGCAGTAGGGGCTTCTGGTGGCTCGTAAACAGATTCGTGATGATAAGGGAGTGGTGCTGGATGGATAGAGAAGTGGAAGCCAGAGATCTGGAGGCATTTCAGAGCTCCTGCAATGCCCAAGGCGCCAGTCAGTGGGCCCCAGGTGGCTAAGGGCTGCCAGCAAAGAATGGCTACACTGGCTTTGGCCACATGGGGGTGCTCGAGGCAAGCCTCCTTGGGCATGGAAAGGGATTCCGGGACCTGTTGGGGAGATAAAGGTTTATAGGGGCTGGGGCATTTCTCACCCATGAGAAACCCTTTCCAGACTCCAGTTATCTCCCCCAACTCTATGCTCCCAGACACCCATCCCCAGGGGGAGTGCGGGTTTGATAAAGGGAGCCAGGAATGTTGTGATGGTGGAACCCAGCACCAGGAGCTGAAGGGTGGGGGAGAGAAGTACTCTTAATACCCCTAATCTGGGAGCAGCAGCCCCACTTCCCAATTCAAGGTGAGTCTGGAAAGCCCTGCTGTGCTGACTCCTCAGCCCTCTCACCTGCAGCTGGATGCCCAGGGCCAGTGGATGAGGCCTTTTCCCATAATGCTGGGTGGTCAGAGGGGCTAACACAAGAGTGCCTCCCACCCTTACAGCCTCATCCTCTGTGCGACGGGAGGGCAAGGATGGTGCGAGGGCCTTTGCAGTCAAGATCAAAGCTGGCTGGCTGGGCTGTGGGGGTCCAACAGTCTTCGTATTGGAATCCCATCAGCCCTGTCTGCCCTGCCACTTGGGGTGAAGGGACACAGAAGGCAGCTGTCTCTCCCTGCAGCAGGGGAATGAGATAGGGAGCACTGGGGGTCTCCCTAAAGCAGGCGTCCTCAAACTTTTTAAAGTGGGGGCCAGATCACGGTCCCTCAGAGAGCTGAAGGGCCGGACTATATGAACTACTAATTCCTACTGTAACACCTCGGCTGCGCTCACTGCCCAAAAAACCTGGCGGGCCGGATCAGACTCCTCTGCGGGCTGCATGTGGCCCGCGGGTCGTAGTTTGAAGACGCCTGCAAAGGATGCGGGGCCACTCTGATATGCCCCGTCAGCAAGTGAATTTTTAAAAAAATATATTTTGATTTTTCAGAGAGGAAGGGAGAGAGATAGAGAGCTAGAAATGTCGATGAGAGAGAAACATCGACCAGCTGTCTCCTGCATACCCCCCACCGGGGATGTGCTCACGACCAATGTACATGCCCTTGACCGGAATCGAACCTGGGACCTTTCAGTCCGTAGACCGATGCTCTACCACTGAGCCAAACCGGCTTCGGCAGCAAGTGAATTTATCAGGCTCCTGGGAGGCACAGGACCTGGGCCTGGGCAGTGAATGAGTAGCAGTGGCCTGGGGCCCTGGACATTCTGCTCTAATGGAGGACCTCAGGGCTGAAGGAGCAACGGATGGTCTGACATCCCAGTCCACTCCAGCCTGGTGCTCTTCCCTCAGTGCTGGAGCCTTGGGAGTTGAGGGCCCTGGCATCTCCTGTGTGTGTGGCCTGAGGGGAGGGATGCTCTTGGACTGACCTTGGGAAACCTCACAGCTTCCTGGGCCTCCAGCTCCCTTCCTCCCAAAGCCACCCCCAGAAAGCCTCCCGGAAGTCAGGCCCAGTGTTTCCTCAGGATGGCGTGGTGGGGGATGATGTGGGGATGGAAGTGCGGTTAGCGAGAGCAGACACTCTGAGCGCCCAGACTCCCTTCCTTATCTGCCAGTTAAAGAGCAGGAGCTGCCAGGAGGAGTCTCAGCCAGGCAGACAGCAGAGAATGGGCTGGGCTGCTAAGGCGGACACCAGCACTGGCTGGTGGGATGCAAGGTCCTGCCCAGGAAAGACCACTAATTCCTTTCTGGGTCTTAGGTGCTTGTTCAAGGGGACTTTGTGTCACTGGAGAGCAGGTGTGGTACAGGTTGGCCCTGTCCCTGAGTCTCCTGCTCTGACCCCGTGGAGGTAGGTCCGGAGATCAGCAGCTTGTCACTGGGACAGCCTGGGGCCATGATGCCCTGCTGAGCTGTTCTGTGGTGCCCTGGATCTGCAGTTTTGTGGGAGTGAGTAGCTTTGGGGGCAGAGCCATCCTCCTGGTGGATGCAGGGAAACAGCTAATAGTTCTGAGTCTGGGCTGCAGCCAGGGGAAACAGATGGAGTGCCAGGTCAGGAGGCCAGATTTCTAGATAGTTCCCTGCCAGTCCATGCTCCTTAACCTTTCACTTCATTAGCAATAGCCACCGAGCAGCTATTATGCGCCAAGCACTGGGGACATCATTGTAAACAAAACAGGCACCATCCTTGCCTTACAGAGGTTTGCAAAGATAAATGAAACAGAGGATGAAAAGTGGAAATGTAAAGAAGGTGTCTCACCAGTGAATCATTGTGTCCTGTGCAGAGGGGCAGGCAGAGCAGCAACAGAAGCAGAGCAGGAGGGGTGGAGGGCAGGGCTTCCCTCCTTGCTTCACTCTGCACTGGATCTGACCTCTCTCTCAAACGGGGGAGCAGGGGCTCCAGCACGAGAGAGCCCTCAGCAGCAATGCCCAGTTCGGGCAGCAGAGGGCAGCAAGGGGCCTGCCTGCTGAAAAGCAGCCTTTAAAAATGTGGTGGTGGTGCTTGGGAGGCGTTGGGGGGGACAGGAACATTGGAGAGTTGTGGGGGACATGGGACCCTCGACCAGCCTTCTCTTGGGGGTATATACAGGTGGCTCCTCCTACCTAGTCCCTTGGAAGCCTGGCTAACAGGGGCTCAGCCTGTTAGCCAGAGAGGGCACTCTTCCGCTTCTCTAGGATCCTACCCCCCAACCCCCCAATCTCTAGACCACATGTGTCAAACACAAGGCCCGCGGGCCAAATCCGTCCCGCCAGGCCTTGCAATGTGGCCCGCACCGCGCTGTCATCACTGCACTCCGCTGCGTTTCCATCACAATGACAGTTTATGACTGTTCAGTAAACCATTCGGCTCGCGATTTAGGCTGGATTTTAGATTTTGGCCCCTTCTCTGATTGAGTTCGACACCCCTACTTTAGACCATACCTTGTGGCCCTTGGTGGTGGGAGTGGCCATTCTGAGAAGGAACCCCATGCCTATTTTCTGTCTGAGACAAGTGTATGGTGCTGGTTGGAGAGGTTTAAGCTACCTGCTGCCCAGACAGCCCTGGTCCCCAGTCTGGTCCACTGTCCCCATCAACGGAATCCAATGCTTTGCTGGTTTCCCTCCTGGTGGGCAGGAGATTTTAATTAAGAGAAGCATACCCTCCCCTGAGGTTTCTGCACTAGCAAGGTGGGTGAGAGCCTGGGGCTCTGGGCACCCAGGGCTCCTGCAGACTGCAATAGGCCCTGCTCCTGGTCACCGGCTTGTTCCCCACCAAAGCCTCAAAAAGCAGCTTGGAGTGGGTGCCAGGGGGCAGGAGGGGACCTTTGGGGAGACTGGGCTGTGAACTAAAACACCAGGGCCGCAGCAGATTGCCTTTCCTGGAACCCCAGACGGGCAGAGACAGCAGCGGCTGGCTGGGCCCAGTCTTCCCAGCAATAAGAAAAGTGGGTGAAGGTGACGAGCAAGAGCCTGGCTTCCCAGGTAGACACTACGTGACTCCTGGCACGTTAAGAGTCTGTGTGTTTCCCGGGCAACCCGCTGAGCCAGGAACAAGGAGCGGAGGACAGGAGTGTGACAGGAATGCAAGGGAGGGAGGGAGGCAGTGCTGTTGGCTGGCTCCTCACATGCCGCTTCCACACTTGGCCAGCACCCTTCCGCCTGCTTGGCGCTGCTGTCCCCCTGCCCCTGTAGGGTCAGTGTATTTCCCGAGCATCCTTATCAGCTCCTCCTTGCTCTCTGAAGAGGGAGTGAGCGGAGTCCCTGCTAATAAGCCTGGGTCCCCTGTTCTGCTAAAGCAAAGAGGTGGCCAAACCTTTGGTGGGCAGGTTGGTGTAAGGTGGGACCCAGCCCTTGCTCAGGTTTGCCAAAATGCTTGCAAAAAAAGAAGAAAAAAAGATGCCGGCTCTAGTGAAATGATGAGTGGTCTAGGCTGGAGGACACCAGGACCCATTTATCAGGGCAGCATTTGGTTCAGGCAGGCTGCAAGCTGCCCTCCCTGTGGGCAGAGCCGCTCCTTCTCAGCTCAAGGGGGCTGTATGGCTATGAGCAACAAGGACAGGGAGGGACTGTCCCCAGATGATGCTCTGGGCACAGGGTTGGTTGACTAAGGGATGTACCTTCCTGGGGTCTGCGTTTCGGTCCAAAGGCTGAATGCAGTGCCCTGGAATCCTTTGCTCTGGCCTGTCCCGCTCCCATTACTCCTTAGACATGTTTTCTGAATGAGTGACTAGGAAAGCAACAGGCTAGGGCCTTAGGCCTCTTAGGGCAGGTCTGGGAGGTGGAGGACTTCAGGTGCCGAGAGGAAAATTGTAGGAGCCACAGGAAACACTCTTTCCCTGACCAGGAAAGCATCCGCCCCCCTTCCTAGGCAGTGCCCAGCCAGAGGTCTGGTGGCCCCAGGGGGACACTCTTCTTGACGTCGTCTGGCCAGCACTGTGTGCGCCTGCGGGAGTGGAATCACTGTAGCCTTTACTTCATCATCTCTTGCCTGGGTGGCAGCACTTGGTGCAGCCACTGCACAGAGCTGTGGTGGGCTCCCGGCCAGCCTCTCCCTGAGCAGGCCAGGGCCAGCTGACCTACATGCACCAGAAAGCTCTGGCTTGGCGTTGGGCAGGTGACGGCACCCTCCGCAGGGCTGAGCTGCTGTCAGGGCCAGGGGTTCCTGGTGGTCAGGTCTCTTGGATACGGGTGGCCCCTGGTGGGTGGGGACTGAACTGTGAGGCTGCTGGGTGTGGAGTGACCAGGGTGGGCCATGGCCGGAGGAGGCCTGTGGGAAGCTGGGGCAGCAGGAGCCAAGCAGCCGAGCTGAGCTGGCAGCCGATGAAGGCCTCAGCACAGCTCTCAGTGCATCACTGGCTGGTCCAACACCAAAACCTTCAAAGCATTTGCCTTTCTGGCAGGGTCTGGAACAGAGCTGCGGCTGGGCCCGGGAGGGGCCTCGGTGCGCAGGGGAATACAAGCTCCAGATCTGCATCCAGAGGCGATTTTCCCAGGCTCCTTCCTCCCACACAGAGGCTCCCTCCCTCGGTTCTGGAGATGGATCAGGTCCTTCCCGCCAAGTCCTCATGGCCGTACAACTCAGCCATGGGCTGGGCTGCTCCTGTCTGGGGAGCAAAAACCAGGGCAGGATCCAGGAGAGACAAAGGCTCGTTAGCTGTAGCCCACGTCCCCTCCTGCCAAGGATGGCTCAGGCCCTCAGCAGCCAGAGAGGGCTACTGAGCTTCAGGCCCGAAATGGTCAGACTTCTATGGTCAGGTCTAATCTATCTCAGAGCAGAGGCTTCTGGGACTGGGGACGAGAGAGCAAAACAGCAAGTGGGGGCAGACTGCACTGGGACTGAAGGTCACTGGTGATTACCCCTAGCAGAGCCCGGAGAAAGTCTCCCCAGACCGGCCCCAACTCCCCTCTGCCTTTGGATTCAGCTTCCTCCCCCACTCAACCTTTAACTAGACTTGCTGACAGGAACAAAATGCACTCCTTTTGAGTTTCACCTCCTTTCATTTCCTTTGCCCTCCCCCTGGAAGTGGTTTTAATGAACAGTGAAACGGCTAAAAGGCAATCAGGAGGAGTAAAGCGCCCGGGTAATTAAACTGTCTTCCCTTTTCTGAGTGGAACCTTAGCACCTGGGCCTGGCTGCCCAGGGGCAGGGGCCTTGCACGTTGGGAAGCGCTCTGGCTCCACAGCACCCAGGCCTCCCTTCCTCCCCAGGGTCCTGGAGCATCCAGATGGAGCGAGGCAACGCCTTGGTGGTGCTGCGCAGCCTGCTCTGGCCAGGCCTCACCTTCTACCACGCTCCGGGCACCAAGAACTGTGGCTACATCTATGTGGGCACTGGGGAGAAGAACATGGACTTGCCCTTCATGCTGTAGGAGGGGCCGCCCAGGAACTCTGTATGCAGAGCATCAACATTATTTTCATACGTTTCAGTGAGTTTGGTCTGTTTGTTCTGTCTTGCCGCTTCCCCTCATCCCCACCTCCATCTGGTGTCCAGGCTCTGAGGAGAGGCCCAAGGAGCAGGGAGACCCAGCTCCGAAGCAAGAGGCAGAGGATCGCAATGTGCTAATGAGAGAATGGCGGGTGGAAACGGCCCTTTGGGGAAGGCAGCTCCCGGACTCACATCAGAGTTGCACACAGGCCAGGCAGACCAACCTGCCTCCTTGCAGCCCCCAGGCCCAAGACTAACAGCTGTCAAAACAGAGGGTGGGAACCTGTTCAGCCCACAAACTCCCGTCAGCTGCATTATGTAGCCCAGCACCAGAGATCAGCGACTCTGCTCAGTAACCGGCCAGAAACAGGCCCAAGCCCCCAAGCAGTGAGCACACATCCAGTGGGTGAAACATGAGCCTGGTTTATGACATTCCGTTGAGCAAAACTCCTGTGCCCTAGCACAGAGTACGGCCCCAACCAGCCAGGGGACCATCGTAGTTGCCAAAGAACCCAACTGCCCTGCCTGCCCCCGGCTCCCAGCACCGCTGCCGGCGGGCCACGGAAGGTGGTCCATGCCACGGTGTCCTTCATGTTGGCGGGGCCAGGCCAGCCGTGGGAAGGCAGGAGTGCAGGAGCTGCGGGCAGGTTCTAACCCTGATAGAACACCAGGGGCTTTTTTGTGTAGCGGACGTTGTCTTTCAGGAGGGGCGATCCCACGGCCATGCGCACCTTGTTCCAGCGATGGCCTTTATTGTAGATGGGCTTGACGGAGCGGACGGACCAGCGGGTCAGGTACCTGTGGAGGGAGGACCAGGAAGTGGCTGAAGGCTGGGTTCCCAGGATGGAGCTGGGAGAGTGGGCACTGCCTCCTCAGGCCAAAGCTATAGCTGTCCAACCAAACCCTTTTTCTAGTTTTCCTTCCTTGAGTAGCAGGGGCTTTTCCTGGGAGCAACCGCTGAGTGTGCTGCAAACAGACGGGCTGGGTTCTTGTGTGTGTGTGGCAGCCCAGGGCCACGCGCTCCCTGGATCTTTATGAGTTGTCAATGTTTGTGTGCATTTGCTGGGGGAGGAGGTGGAGAAAGAGGCTACTCAGAGAGCAGATCATTCCTCCGTGGCCTCAGCCATGGGGAGTGGAGAGGCTGATGTAAGGGCCTGGAGGAATCCTTCCCTCTTCCCCACTTGGCTCCTTCTGCCACCCCAGCCTTCAGGGAGCTCCCCTGGGTAGCCATAACTGGTGCAGGCCCCTGCCCCTCACTCAACCCATGATGGGAGCCAAGGGTGAGGGCTCATGGGGGTAAGTAGGAGAGGTGGGGGAAGATGGCTGCCGCCCAGTCCTTTGGCCTCCTTTGGGGGTGGCCAGGGCGCTGATGTTCCCGGAAAAGTGGCTCATGTCGGCCGGGGCTGGGGTTTACTCCATTCAGAATGAAACTCGGATCCTGTCCAGAGAGGCCCACCCTTCATCCTAAAAGCTCAGCTATGGCAAAGGCCAGGGTCCTCCCTGCCTCCACTCTAGGCTGCGACTCAACACAGCCACCTCCAAAAACCTCAAATGAGAGATGTTTTTAATTAAAAAAAACAAAACAAAACAAAACAAAAACCCTTGGATGAACGTTTTTAGATAAAAGTAAAAATATGATTGCTGATTTATACATTTCAATGGAGTCTTCTCTCTCATCCCTGTGCAAAGAAACAGCTCTGAGTGGAGTAAGAGCTGGGGGAGGTGCTGGCAGGCAGGCAGGACTTCTCTGAGTCTCCTGTCAATGTCAATGTCAATGCCCCAATAGGGAGGGAGACTTCTGAGGAGTGGACTGGCCCCAGGGACTGCTTTTTCTATGGCTGTTGGTTCTGGGACAGCAGAAGAATAAAGAGTAAGGGAAGGAATACCTGGCAGGCCCCTGGGCTGGCATCTCCCAGTCTCCAGAGGGGATGGGTAAAGAGATAGGATATGGGAGCTGGTTTCCCAAAAAGAGTGCTCAGGTGGAACGTCAGAACCCCAGAGATCCCCCAGGCTGACCGGGTTCTCCAGAACTGCTGCCCTAGAAGTGTTCCTCCCCTGCCCTGGAGAGACCCGAGGAAGCCGGGCTTCAGCTAGCCCTGGGCCTGATGCCTGTGCCACATGGAGCAGCCAGCTGGTGGGGGAGGGGTGCCTGGGTGGCCTCCAGTCAGCTTTTTGGGAAGATTCCAGCTCTAGGAAGAACCAAGGCTCCTTCCTACCACTCCTGAAGGGGCAGAGGAAGGAGGAAATGTGGGTCCCCTGAGCCCAAAGCCCAAGGAGAGAATCATAACGTCCCTTGCAAGGGAATCAGCCTTCATCGTAGCCAGGACTCTGACTCCCCCTCTCACTCCCCCACCCGTGGCCTCTTGCTACCCAAGGGCCCCCACACATCATCAATCCTGTGTCACGTTAAAGGACACCGGATATATGGGAGGGAGCCTGGCCTCACTTCAAAGGCCCGAGGGCAGGATGGATTGCGTCCTTAGGCCTGCTGCTGTCTCTTAACAAGACAGGCGTGGGGGTGAGGGGGAAGGTAGGCTCAACCCCCAAATGGTCCATAGCATATTTGGGAAAGACAGAAAGAGGTTACTAGGTCCTGACCCCCCAGGACTGCTGGCAGATAGCCCAGCTAACAATGTGGGAAAGGCAGGTGGAGATGGGCATAGGGCCAGGGTGGTGGTGAGGCATCAATGAAGACCCAGCTCTGGCCCTGCCCTTGTGGCTGGCATTTGCCTGCACTCCTACCCTCGTGCCTGGGTTCTGTTAGCGATCAGACTGGGAGGTCTGCTAGGGGGTGGGTTAAGTCTTGCTTTGCTTCACCATCTTTGGTCAAGTCCAGTGGCAGCTGGACAGGTTGAAAGAGGGAGGAACCATTAATAGAGGAGAACAAGAACAAATAATAAAATCAGTTTTACAGATTTGCTCTACTCTCAATAAGGGGGTATTACAGATCTAGGAGTATGAGAGTGTGGCAATATCAGATATGGGGGAAGGGAAGGAACATACAATAGGATGACTGAGCATTAGACAGGTCTGCTCCTACACTAGAGGGTGCCACCCTGGCTTAGGCTGAAAGGCAGATTGATTGATTGAAGGATCTAGGGGCCTTTCTCTTCTCTAAAACCTCAGGACCTCTTAGGTCAGCATGTGCAGCTGGGCAGGTTAAGTATACAATTCTAGGAAGCGCCATTCACAATCTAGTCTATGTGGATACTGCCTTCAAGTTTTGCAGTGAATGACTTGCACAGCTATATAAAGTGGCCCCACCCCAGAGAGCCCTCCCATTTTTAAAGCCTCATTTTGCCCTTTAATAAACCCAGTGCTGGGATACTAAAAGTTTGAAGTGCTCTGACATCCCCATAGCAACCTAGTATGATGTCATAAACAGGGGATTAGCACATTCTAATGCCCAACCAGCAAACTGCCTTATGCTCCTTGCCCCTGTGCTAAGTGCCCTATTAGGGAGGGAAGAGGAAAGAGGGCTGAGGGCAGCAGGGGAGGGTGACAGAAGCATGTGCACCGCCAACTGCAGCCTCAATAGGACCAATGGGGGTGGGTGCTCAAGCTGGATGGGATGGAACAGACAGCCAAACAACACACTAGCTTTCCCGGGCTGTGGGATGAGCTTCAAGAAATGTCTTTCTTGACAGAATACAATGAGAACTAGAGGCCTGCAGAATGCTCAGGGGGTTGACACCCTGGTGTGCTTACCGGTTGAGTTGGGGTTTCTTTTTTGGAACAACTCCTTCAGGAAGCAGAGGCCTATGATTTGGCAACAGACCTGAGTGGAGGGAAGAGCATATAAGGAGATGGTCTCTGACATCCCAATAGCAACCTAGTATGATGTCATAAACAGGGGATTAGCACATTCTAATGCCCAACCACCAAACCTCCTTGGGGGACTCAGGGAAAGCCCAAGAGGGTGGAGGCAACCTGAGGGAATTATAATGAAGACTCTTCCAGGAGGGGGCTACACATGGGGCAGCTGGTGGGGAGAGGGCGGCCACAGTCCCAAGGGGAATTCTACCTGCTCGGTGGGCCATCTTCACACACTCCTCAATTTTGCGGTGTTCTTCCTGGCACAGGCCTGTGATCTTTCGAGGCAGCATGCCTCCGTGAGGCCGGATAAACTGACTGAGCAGCAGAACATCCTAGAAGAAACAGAAAATAGGAGGTGAGGGTCACCTGGGTGGACTTTTGATGCTGGGAAGCCAGGCCACGTGACCTACAGAGGAGGCTGTTGACCCTGGCACTCCAAAAGGTTGAGGTCTCTATTGGGAACTGACCTGAGACTACTCCCTCCACACAGAGCTTTGCACCCTGGTCTACTGCCGTCACCCTTACAAAAGTTAAATCCTAACTTTTTCCCCCACATTTATTTTTAAAATATATTTTTTAATTGATTTAGAAGAAGGGAGATGGAAAGAGATAAAAACATCAATGATGAGAGAGAATCATTGATTGGCTGCTTCCTGTATGCCCCACACTGGGTAATAAAGCCTACAAGATACAAACTGAGGAAGGGACCATGGCTGTGAAGTTAAATCCCACATCTTCTAAGCCCCTGTGACCAGATGTGAATGGACTCTCAGGCTTCCTCTGGACCATCGGACTGCTTTGAAGAGTCAAGGAAACAAGGACAAATAGAGTCAAAATTGAGACAAGAGACCATTTCCTACCCCCAACTCTCACAGGATAGTTGAGGGGGTTAAATAAAAGCCACCATCTCCCCCCCTCACGCCCCCCTATCCCCCCCAGGGGCCTGGCACACCAGTCTTAGCAGTCATGTCCACAAACTGACTTGCTGCCCTGGCAGGCGCCTCGCTGTATAACCGCAGATTTGTTTTAATCACTGGACAGCTCCTGAGGGACCCAGACCCCCCAATTCCCACCCCTGTAATCTTCAGAATCTGATGAAAAGAACTTGGATTGGATTATCCAGGGCTAATAAACTGGGCTCACTGCCCTAGCCTTCCCCATTGCAGGCTGCCAAGGAAGTTAACAGCTTTGTGCAGCTCAGGCTAACGGTGTCCTGAGTGGAAAGGGGTAAAAAGGAAAACAACTTTAGCCTTTACCTCGGAGGGGATTGGATTTCTTCTGCTGGGTAAACAGAGCCAAGCTGTATTTCCTGGAAATGGCTGGTAGGAAGAGTGCTCATGGTGGTCAGGCAGGTTCATCCCCCATTTTCAGTTGGGATTCCAAGTATGGCCAGAACCCCACTAGCTTTCAGGTAACAAGAAGCTGTGAATATTGCCGCATGCCTGCAAGCTTCCTATCACTCCAGGCGGACATCAGCGGCAAGGCCCAGGGCAGGGTGAGAGCACACCCCCACCCCACCCCTGGTGGCCTAAAGCCAAGGCTCCCAGCCTGGGAGATTAGTTGGGTCATTCTGTTCAGATCCCATGGACATGTGGCCTCTCGAGCTCTTACCACCTGACCGGGATCTCTGCCCTTAGTCACCCCATTCCACAGAGGGGCACAGGGACAATCGGTAGGTCAAATTGGCCCAGAGCCTCAATCACCTGAAACCTAAAAATAGGGTGCTTAATGCCACCAACAGAACTCGGAAGGACAAGTATGAATTTCTCCAGGGTTGAGCCCTTTTCCCCAGGTTCTCCCTATTGCTAGAGAATACAGAGGGGTAGTTGGGATCGTACTCTACTTGGGGTTTGTATCCCCGAGTCTGATAATTAGCTGGGTGACCTGAGGCAAGTTCATTAACGTTTCCAAGCCTCAAATGTCCTTGCCTGTAAAACCAGGATGAAAAAAGTACCTACTTCATAGAAATACTGTGAAAACTGAGTGAATGAAGATGTGTAAATGCTTACAACAGTGCCTTTTGCAGAGCATGTGCTCAGTGCACGGTACTTATTATTCACTGTCGTCATCCCATGAAAACAGATGAAGTGGTAGAAGAGCTGGAGCAAACAGGGGCCTCTGTAGCTCCAACAGAGAGACAGTAATGTGTCTCCAGATCACAGAGAGGCCTTTCCAAACAGCCTTTCATTATAAAAGAAAGAAACCAAACTCAGATCCTGATTCCACCCTCTTGGGAACACAACCCTTCAAGACTTGGGTACCTGGCTCTGGTGGTCTGACTCACATGCAACCAGACAATGAACCAAATGACTCTCAACCCTGGCTGCACATGAGAATGACCTGGGGAGTTTTAAAAGGTGATGGCCAGGCCGACGGAATCAATGCCTGAACGTTTCGTAAAGCTTTCCTGTAATTCTCATGTGCAGCAGGGCTGAGAGCTTGTCTCTGATGGCTCCATGGGATGCAGCAGCGGCCATGGGGGAAGAGCTGGGGGCAGGAATGGCGCTTGTAATCCAGGGCAGATGACCTCTCTAACATGCAGAGCCCCGTGTCTTTGCACACTCACCTCATAGCCATACTTATGCTTCAGGTTCCACCGGCAGATGGGGCACTGGCCAGAGGGGTTAGGGGGATTTGGACTTTCCCGGGGAGTGTCTGTGATTCGGCCTTTGATCTAGGAGGCAGAGAAAGAAAGCCAGTGAGGGAGGGGGCCGTGTGCTCACTAACTTGAGCAACTCCCCAGACTGGTGGGACTGCTGCATAACTCCACCTCTGGGAGTTTTGTGGGACGGGAAATAGGTCTCTGCTGGAACTGTGGTGGTGGTTTTGCAGTGGGCCTTGGAGTGTCTACAGAGAAGTGAGTTGATAGCTTTAAGGGCAGTGGGAACTGAACTTAATGCTGGTGGCAAGAGGGAGAGGTTTGCTGTATCAGCTGAATGCTACTTTTCCTTCCTCACAAACAAAAACCACCTTTGGGAAGAAGTAATAAATGCACATGGTAAAAAGTTTCAAACTGCGCAGGGATGTAGAGTCCAAAGGAAGTCTCCTCCCATCCCACCTATCCTTCCGAGGAAACTGCAGCTCCCAGCTTATCTTACAGAGCGAAGTCTGTGCCAGTGGTTCTTAGCCTGCCATGATTTTGTCCACTCTTCCCCATGGGATACTGGATAATGTTTGAGGCATTTCTAATCCACCGTCACTACTGGGGAATGGGGTGAGATTGGCAGCTAGCAGGGAAGCTAACCATCCTGCAATGCACAGGACAGTCCCTACCAACAAAGAATTAGCCAGCCTAGGATGCCAGCAGTGCCCAGATATCCGTGTGCACTCCTGCTGCTTCTCTCTCTCTCTTTTAAACACACAGATGGGAGAATACATTCCCGTCTTCTCCTTGCTTCCATTATTTTGGATGCCACCTTTTCAACCGTGCTGAGGCCACGTGCAAAATGACCTCTAAGTGCAACGGACCACTGATCTGGGAGTCAGCTCCAATTGCAAGAGGGGGGGGGGGTTTAGAAAGCCTTGCTGTTTGAAGCCATGGATTATGAGAGCAAGGCTGGGACAGGGCTCAGAGGCTTTGGAAGGGAAGCAACACTGTCTCCTGAGGTAGAAGTGCAAACAGGAGAGGAGCTGGAAGCAAGGCTTGGTTGTGCAGGGCATTGCTACCTACCTTTCAGCCAGGGCAGAAATAGAGAAGTGGGTTAAGGAAAACATGTCAGTGTGAGTAGGCTTGAGAGGGGTTAAGGTGTAAGGTGGTCTGTGGGGAGAAAGCTAACATTCATCGATTCCCCATTATATGCCCGGTTTTGTGCTAATCATGGTTCACATGTGTCATCTCATTTAACCCCACAGCCTAGGGAGGGAGGCATTACGATCATACTTTACAGATAAAGAAAGTGAGACCCCGGAGAGTGAGCAATACCACCAGCCAAGGCAGTGCCTCTCCAGGCAGGGATGGGGTCCCTCCCCCAAGTTTCTCCTAATGCCACCATGTCTCCATGTTCATTCTACAAACAGCAGATTCATGCCCCGCATGAAAAACAGTCTTCACACTCAGAAGCCAGATGTGTTTCCTCTCCACCAGCAGGGAGTTCACAGGGTAAATGCTTGTTTCAGCTTTGAATAAGGAAATAAGGTGCCCTAAGGGGGAGGGAGCCCCCTCCAAAGAACTATTTTGAGGTTAAGCAATGCAAAAGCTGAGGGAGAATTCTAGGGAAGACCCAAAAAGGGAACCTGAAAACCTTGATCTGGGGATAAGACTGCTTGGCTGGCTGCCAGAAGGGTTAAATCCCTGGTTGACATGGAAGCTATATCTAGGAGCTGTGTGGAGGGGCTGTGGGTTTCTTGGAGGCAAGGAAAGCCATGTGAAAACAATGCCGTCTTTTAGGGATTATAGGATAATCTAGGCCCCATGACTCCTGCAGGAAGGGAGGTGAGATGGGCCCAACAAGGAAGGGGGAGTGGGTGGATCAAGTCATTCTAGCTTTCTTACCAACAGGGTCCAGAGAGTGTCACCTTTTAACGGAACCACTGAAGGAGTAGCTTAGTCATTTTGGGCAGAAAGGAAAGGAGTGGAGATCTAGGATCCTGGCCCCGAATCAACTTACTCTGGCCTTTAGTCCTGTCATTGCCTTAGTTTCCCCTTTGGAAAACTAATTTATCACCCTCCAAAGAACATATCAGTAAAGACCTTGTTATCCACATGGCCATTTTAAATAACAGATGCTTCAATCCAGGTATAAGTGACTGTTCCTGATAAACCACACAATAGCACACATCTTGAAAAATAGCAGACTGTAAGATTTATGGTCCCAGAGGGACCTGATCCTGGAGCTGGGAGCCCAGTTTGGACCTCCTTTCCCTCCCTCAAAGGAGCAACCAGGCAGCTCCAAGTGTTAAAGAGGTTATAAATGGCCAACTTGATGATACTTACTATAGTTGTCTTCCCTTCTTGGATCTCCACCACTACAGAGATAAAGGGGAAAAATTAGGTCAGCCATTTAATAAGGAACAGGGAGTTTCAAATAATAGCTCAAATTCTACAGCAGAAAAACAGAGCCTTCACTCTGCACTCTCCCAGTCGCCACCAGAAGGGGAAGCGTGCAGGGTTCCCCTCCAAGCGCCAAAGCTCTATGCCCCTGAGGCTGGGTGGGGCAAGCCCAGACACCCAAGTAATATCATCTCTCTGGGACTAAGAGTCTCCACACTGTCTTTGTGCCTTTCTAAGCCAAGATTCATCTTGGTGCTATCTAAGGAAATTGGCAACATCCTGCCATACTACGGCTAGCGATAATGACCTGAGTGTGTGTGTGGTGTTGGTGGTGGCGACAGCAGAAGCATGTAAAAGACCTTCAAAAGTACCCACTTACTAAAAGAATCAGACAAACATAATTCCTGACCTTGCTTAGTTTACAATCTAAGTTACAGCACTGAACTAACACAACTCCAATGGCCCTGGGTAGATAAGCAAAGAGATAAGTTCACTCCTAAAATTCATTCTGAGAACCTTGTGTAAAAAACTATATGAGGACAACTGTGTGAGTTAAATCCTCTTCTTTTCTCCACTCCTCCCTGCAGGGTTGCATTTAAAAAAAAATATATATATTTTATTGATTTTTTTTACAGAGAGGTAGATAGAGGGATAGAGAGTTAGAAACATCAATGAGAGAGAATCATCAATCAGCTGCCTCTTGCACACCCCCTCCTGGGGATATGCCCGCAACCAAGGTACATGCCCTTGACCAGAATCGAACCTGGGACCTTTCAGTCCACAGAGGATGTTCTACCACTGAGCCAAACCGGTTTCGGCCAGGATTGCATTTTGTTATCTGCTGGAGAGGTGTGATAAAAGAGGTGGGAGTGCCTTGCTGGTGTGTGTGGCTTAGTTGGCTGGGTGTTGCCAGGTATATGGTTGCTGGTTGATTTCCAGTCAGGGCACATGCCTGGGGTTGTATACTCAATCCCGGATAGGGGTGTGGAGGAGGCAGCTGATAGATGTTTTGCTCTCATATTGATGTTTCTCTCTCCTTCCCTTTCTCTCTCAAAACCAATAATAAAAAAAAGAGGTGGGCCGAGACCGGTTTGGCTCAATGGATAGAGCGTCGGCTTGGGGACTGAAGGGTCCTGGGTTCGATTCCGGTCAAGGGCATGTACCTTGGCTGCAGGCATATCCCCAGTAGGGGGTGTGCAAGAGGCAGCCGATCGATGACTCTCTCTCATCGATGTTTCTAACTCTCTATCTCTCTCCCTTTCTCTTTGTACAAAATCAATTAAAAAAAAATTAAAAAAAAAAAAAAGAGGTGGGCACAGGAGGCTACGGATACTGGGTTCAGGAAGACAACTGCAATTCCGAACTGGAAGGGACTCCCTCAGCTCTGCCTCTAGGTCTGGCAGCCAACAGAGAACCCGAGGGAAAGACAATAAGTCACACACATCTGTCAGGCTGTACATATTTCTGACTAAGATGCAGAGTGACAACTCCAACAATATGCAAAGGGAGAACCAAGCTAAAAGCCCACATTTGGCAAATATAATCAAACAGAAAATTCTTGGAGATCTCTGTTTGTTCTCCCGGTTTCTTTAGAAAGAGAACTGTTAGCATAGGAACTGGCACATAATTCCATGCAGATGCTCAATAATTGTGTACTAGCTCTCAGGGAGCAAAATATTCGTCATGGTCTCCTTCTGACTGTTAATTGCTGTAATAGGAAACTTGGGCTCACATAACTGCAAACTGTCTCCACACATACTAAAATCATATTTTAACAGCAGCTTGGCTACCACAATTAGTTTTACTCAGCTTTAGCCAAAGCAAGATTACCGATTAAAAAGAACCCAAGGTTCTTAACTTTGACCATCTAGTCAAAGTTATGGATCTCTCCCTAGCATACATACAATTAAACACGAGTTTTGGGAGACTCAGCCCCCTGAAGCTATAGATACAAATAGTAATATTGTTTTTCTCTCAGTGCTGGTAGTAGGTGATTTTTAGTTTCTTCTTTATGCCTATCTGTATTTTCTAAACTTTCTAAACTAAATATGTACTGCTTTTGCAATAAAAGACAATAAGAGAGGAAGAATATGTCTAAGGAACAAAAGTGAGGCGATTCTAACCCAGCCAGAGTCCCACAGCAACATCTGTGATCGCTGAGCTCTGTGACTGACACCTAATTGGACCCAGGCGGCTGGAATTGCTTCCCATTTGTTTCTGGGCACGGCTATTCATAAAGACTCATTACTTTAAAATAACCTACCTGAGAGGGCCTTTCCATTTCCAACTCCAGACACTCCAAGTTGTAACAATGACAAGAAAGGCCCCGAGGCTTTCTCCCAAACATTGTAGTTACCAATCAATTCACAAAGACAAACTAGGTTTCTCCCAGTAAAAGGAAATGCGTCACCCACACACGGATCTACTTGTTCAGAACAGAGACCCGCCTAAACGGGATGTGGGGGAGACTCAACCTGGTGCTCAGTCTGGAGGCCAGCTCAGTTACAAAAGGCCTGTCACTGTAATGTGTCAACCTATAAACAAAGGGGTGCAGAAAGAGGGCACAGCTCCAGCCCAGTAGGCTTCTAGGCACCCCAGAAACACTGCACATTTGTAAAAAACTAAGTTGGATGGAGGGGTGACCAAATCAGAGCAACAATGGGTAGGAGGAAAGTTTTTAAGAATCATCGTCAGAAACAAAAGGAGAACCATTCTGATACCACTGAGTCAGCACTAGAACAATGCCCCGAAACACAAAGCAGATAAACATGTGGTTTCTTCTCTGTGGAGGCACTTGGGTCCTAATCATGAGGTAAACAAGTCTAACAAAACACACATCACTCCCGGCAAAGAACCAAACCTTGAAGTCATCCCACTGGCCCCTGGAAAGGAGATCAAAGACCATGGCAAGCTTCACTGTTCACAAGCTCCCCACACAGCAACTCCGAGCCAGTGAATCATCTTACTATAAGCCAGTGGGTAAAACATTAGGCAGATGCTTATCTAATAGAGATAATTTGTCAAACCAGAAGGAATGACCTGAGAATTCACTGGAGATCGAGATTAATCAGGGCGGTGTCTCAGGCTGAGGGCCTGGCTGGAGCCTGAAGAGGCTCTGATAGATTTTAAGCCTCTCAAAACAGGAGATAGGAATCAAAATAGTATTGATTTTCAGTGTGCGTACAAAAACATGTCAAAACCAAACAAAACCTGAGATCCATTTTGTCCCTGGCCTCCTCTCCATTTAAGAGAAGTGGGGGTGGCTAAGAAAAGCTGGACTAGGAGATTTAGGCACTAACATAGAACTTGTTTAGAAAAAGATGGAATCACTGTGTCGTTCTGATAAATGCTTATATCAAGTAAACTCAGGAAAGAAATGAAGCCCTTTTCTAAACTAGAATCAAGGGCCAAAATCTTCAAAGACAGGCACTTCTCATACAAATCAAATAATCTGTTCCACAGGAGGCAACAGATTTGCTGAGCACGGGTGGAGGTACAGTCAGCTCCACCTATTGTGGAGTAACAACAGAATAGGAAGACAGTCTTTGCCCTAGGGGAGAAAAGGGAACGAAACCAAGTATGGGAACTTCACTATAATAAAGTCCATGCCTCGTAAAGAGGTCCTTTGAGTGCTTCAGTAAATACTCGTCTAGGATGGAGTCCAAGATAACTGAATTATAACAGTCCAGAGCAAACAGCATTGTGGTAAGATTGCAGTGAACACAGAAAGACCTTGATGGCCACATAAACACAGACAGTGCACAGCCTAACTGTTTAAGTAAAGGAGGAAGTGAGGAAAGATTAATGATGAGGAGTGGAGGCATGGCTACACAAAGTGCCCAGAGACCAAGGTCCTTCTTGGAAAGGGTCCATGGAAACCAAGTGCCAGAGTGTGAAGGAATGGAGTAACTGAATGGCAGGTTGGCTAAGAGGTGGCACTGACAGTCTTAGAGGGTCAGAAGTAAATGCATGTTTGAGATGTGGGTCTGCACTTCTGGTCATTAACTACTTTTCTCAATCTCCCTCCTCTCAAGCACCACTCTCTTCTGTTCATCTTCCATTCTACCACTGAAATGTTCTGATTCTCTCATCACCTCTCACTTTTCTCTTGGACCCCCTGCGGGAATGTCCCTCTGCACTCTGCTTTAGGATGAGTCTTATTGCTTCAATTCCGTAAAGCCCCAACTTGCTCACTCCTCTCTCAAAGCTTTCAGCTGCCTTGTCTGAAATGCTATAGTGAACTGGAAAAGATGAAAAAAATTCCTTTCAGCTTTAATAATTTCAAGGCTTTCTTATCTAGGTGTCTGATAGATCATTACTATACATTCAGATAAGCAACATGCTTATTTTTCTTGTTTTAAATATGTTTCCTTCATAAAAGCTCTGAGTGACAATGCAGGAATAAGGTCAACACAATCTTTGCTAAGTCTGGCAGTGCTAACCATAGACACTAAGTGGTCTTCAGCAAGTTAACGATGTGGGCTTTCAGGGAAGGGAGGGAGCCACGAGGAGGCCCATCTATGGAGTACTGAGGTGATGTTACTGGTGGAGAGGGAAGAGCACTGGCTTTACTTTCAACTCCAGCCCTCACTGGCTGTGTGATGTTGAGTGGTTACTGAAACCCTCTGGGCCTCATTTGTAAAAATGTCAGTAATATCCAGCTTTAAGGTTTGCTGGGAAGATTAAATAAATGTAGGTGAAAAACCTGGCACAGTGTTTGCAGCAGGCACTTAAAAAACCACAATTTCCATATTTGTGTTCCTTCCATAATAATATATATTTTTTGTTAATTCCCAACACAAAATATTTTCCCAATGATTTTTAGAGAGTGGGAGGGAGAGGGAGGGACAGAGAGAGAAACATCCATGTGAGAGAGACATATGGATTGGTTGCCTCCTGATCCAGGGTGGGGGATCCTGCAATTGAACCTGGAACCCTTCAGTCTGAGGGCCAGCACTCTAGCCACTGAGCCAAACTTGTCAGGGCTTATTTTTTGGCCTTGTCTGTCACTCTGATCAAACTTTAGACCAGGTTTTCTCAACAGCAGCATGACTCACATTTTATGCCATGTAGTTTGTTGTTGTGGGAAGTCATCATGTGCACTGTAAGATGACAGTAGCATTCCTGGACTCTACCCACCAGATGCCAGGAGTATCAGTTGTGAATACTAAAAATGTCTCTAGACATTGCCAAAAGTTCTTGAGGAACATAACTACTCCCAATTGAGAACCACCGCTTTAGACTTGGAGTCTTTACAGGCAGGAGTCCTGATGAACTCTGACTAAAATTAAACAGTATTATCTGATACTTTGAAAAGTAGGATGCTTGAATGTTTTTAGCAAGATATCCAGCTTCCTCTCCACAACATTAAATTCTAAGTGTACAATATTATTTGGTTGTCAAATATACCATCTGGGACCAGTCAAAATTAGATATGTGTAATATTTTGTACTTTATACATAGGGGGTAGAATATCAAGGAAAGTTTTTTTCATTGAAATGCTTTGGAGCCCTGGCTGGGTAGCTCAATTGGTTAGAGGGCATTGGATTTGTCTTGATACACCAAGGTTGTGGATTTGATCTCTGGTCAAGGTACAGACAGGAATCAACCAATGAATGCATAAATGAGTGGAACAACAGATCGATATTTCTCTCTCTCAAATCAATAATAAAATAAATAAAGGCTTTGGAGACAAGTGATTGGTTCTTCTTTAAGATGACATCAATTCAATGCAGCTTTTAGATCTGACAGTGAGTAATCAAGAAGAGCAACAAACCCAAGTATTTATGGAGAGGAGGCCTTCAGCTACCCACCTGATGATACAGTCCATCATTTCACAAACTTTCCAACAGAAAAATATTTGAATTTAAAATATTCCTTTGTAAAAGAACAAACCAAAAACGATTGCTCTTGGTTATCCTCTGGGAACATAGCAAAGCACTGTTTTCAACTTTGAATTTCATAAAGGATATGTAAATTGCAGCCATTAATGTCTGACACTTGGCAGACACCCTCAAAAATGTTATGGGTATATGCTTGGTTTTCAGCATGGGAATAAGATGCAACACCTTTTCCAAGTCCTTTTTATTAGCAGCATGGTCTCTTTGGTGTCTTTATTGATGGATTCGTTTGACTAACATTAATCAGGCAGTATCGGAATTTTGTTGTTCTTCCTAGTAAATGCTCCATTTTCCCTTCATAGCTAAGTTTTCCACACATACCTGTGATTTCCACTTCCTCATGAACTCTCTCTTTGATTTCCCACTCTATTGGAATTGCTGTTTGAAAGCTAAAAAAAGAGATGATCTCCCCAAACAAACCTAATGGCCTCTCCATTAGGCTCTTTTTGAACTTTCCTGTTTCCTTTGAAAACAAGGACCACTCTTTTCCTCTGGATATGTCTGTTTTAGTTAAAAGACATGCTGGTCAATGCTGAGCCAGAATCTTAAAGAAGGTCCACACCACTCATCCTTTCCTGCTTCCAGCAGTGCACAAAGGAAGGCTATGTCTTGAAAGACCCTATTCACTCTCCTCCAGATCCCACCCTTTTATAAGCCCATTCAAGGCATCCTCCTCATGAAAATTTCCAATTGGGTTTGCTGTTCCAAGCAGCCGAATCTCCCTGCCCTTTACTGCAGCCTACACATATCATCTCCTTATAACCGAACTTCTCAGGAAAGGGCTGTATATTTTTTTTTTTTTTCCTTTCCAGAATCCCTTGACTGCCTAAAGTAAAGCACTTGGTTGGAATATATGTTTCCCCATAAGCCTTTCCAGACTTAAGATGAATGAAAAGGAGTAATACCATTCAGCATTTGCCTGTTTCAGCTGTTCAATAGCCTTTCCTCTCTGGGAGACTAGCGGCCCGGGCAGAAAAAGCCGCCGCCAGAACACAGCACTTTCAGATGAAAAACTGCAAAGGGTCTGCTTGGGAAGGTCTCCAGATGTCCTTCCCTCCTGATCCACGGGCACTTTCATAAACGAGGCGGCCGTCCGGAGACTACGGAAGGGAGAATTAACGCGCAGACCCTTACCGAAAACTTTCCTGAACCCTGGGACAGGTTTCTCTTCTGCCCTTGCTTACTAAGCGGGTCTTTCTCCCCGTCCTCCCCATCCGCCTCCGCCCCTGCCCGTGAGGACGCTCGCGAGGGGTGGGAAGTCAAGACAATAACAGCACCAGGGTCTGGAAGGGGCTTTCAGGCGCCCTGGGAGCGGCAGCATCTCCGACGTTTCGGAGCCGCGCGGAGGGAAGGAGGGGCGCGGCGGCCGGAGGAGGAAGCCCCGCCGCTCTCCTCTTCAGCGCTGGGAAGTCGCCGTGAATGGGGACTCACCTTCCCTGAACCCGCGATCTGGAGGCCGAGCCCAGCTGGTCGCGGCAGGGCCTGCCAGAAGCCCTCGGAACAGCCGCCCACACTGGGACACCAGCGCACTGAGGGCCGCCATCTTGAAGACCAAGGATGACCTCTTGGGCACTTCCGCTTCCGGAGCGGCGCACGCGCAGCCGCCGTGATGGGCGAGACTCGCGCAGGTTGTGGGCTTCACGCTCTGTTACCCCTGTCACTTCCTTTCCCCTCACCTTTCTAGCTTTTGGCAAAGGGTAGAGGCCTCTGTGTCGAGGCTGTGCTTCGTTCCCAGGAATATGGGAGGGCTTCTAGCTCCCGTCTGCCAGTCCCCGGAGTCTCCCTGCAGTTACATGCACTACTCCTGTATCCTGAAAGCTTTTTCTTCTCTGCAAATCAGATGTGGCTATTCAGCTTCTTGTGGCTGAAGCTAGGCCTGTACAGGAGAGTTGAGATGGTTAGGAGCACTGGTTCTGGAGCATTAGGTATCAGGGAAACCTAAGATAGAATTAATATTCCTCTTCCCCACCCTGACATCCATTCTCATCTTTGGCCAAGGCTTTTGCACAGTTGTTTTCCTCTATCTTCTCTTTGCCTACCTGGTAAACTCCTACTTATTTCTCAGAACTCAGCTCAAACTTCCCTTCTATAGTGGAGTCTTCCTTGAAAACCTCCCTGTTGCTGTTCTCTCAGCACCAGATACTTCTCCATCTTAGTACTTGGCATAATTGCAGTTTTACATTTGCTTGTGTAATATATGTTTCCCTATGAGACTGTGTGCTCCATGAAGGCAAGGACATTGCTTATTGTTGACTCTCATATCTCCAGCACATAGCACAGTGCCTGATACACAATGCATGCAATATGTGGACAAAAAGGGGCCACATTCTAACCTGACTAACTCAGGCAAGGCCTGATTGGTGGCCTTGAAAACACAGAGACTTAGAGTAATCACAAAGTATAGTCTAAATTGAAAACTTTTAAAATTGAAAAGCAGTTTATAGTAGTTCACTGTTGACTGTTAACTATCCTGTACCCACCTATGTAAAAGAAGCATGTGCCTATTATTTTTTATCAATCCCAGAGGATCACCCCTCCCCCCAGCTTTGCTTTCTTCTATCTCCCTAATATATCAAACACCCACATTTTTTGTTTCAGTATCAAAAAGAAAGTAAAGGTGCTCAATTTTCCCTCTTTTGGATTCACAGGGACATAGTATGTTCCCCTGGAGCTTCCTAAGAAAAGAAAGCCATTCACAGCTCAACTCTTCCATTTGGTGGTTGGGATATTCTTTTCCACCCTCCACAATAAACCTGAAGGGGGATTTTCTAGTTATCCTACTCTGCTTCATAGATGGGAAAAGTCAGGCTCATTAAATGATGATGATGGGGGAAGGAGCATAACTTCCAGTTGGGACTGCCACCCTGGTGGACCAAGAGGATGCAGAGCAGCTGCTGCTTGGGGAGCTTGAGTGGCATCACCCCAGATAAGAGAGGAGGAGAAATGTGGCATTGGAGTAACTAAAACATTGTGTTTAGCAAGGGCAGATTCTGGGAAGGGGAAATTTGAAAGTCAATCTAGATGTGTGAGGGTGGAGCACAGCATCATTTATTAAAAATATTAGAGGCCTGGTGCATGAATTCAGGCCCGCCCCCAATCAGGGTTGGGGGGAATGATGGGGGCGGGGCTGGTGGGGGAGGGGCTGCAAGTGGTTGGCTGGCTGGCCCTACCCCTGGTCCAACTCCCGGTTGAGGGGACAATTTGCATATTAGCCTTTTATTATGTAGTATTATACTTTCCACCTGGCTAGCATGACTCAGTGGTTGAGCATCAACCTATGAACCAAGAGGTCATGGTTTGATTCTCAGTCAGGGCACATGCCCCAGTTATGTGCTCAGTTCCCAGTGTGGGGCATGCAGGAGGCAGCCAATCTATGATTCTCTCTCATCATTGATGTTTCTATCTCTCTCTCCCTTTTTCTTCGTCTCTGAAATCAATAAAATATATTAAAAAAAAATACTTCCCCCCATTGCTTTTTATCTGGTGTGGATCTGTTTCTGGAACTTCTATTTGATTCCATTGGTCCTTTATCACCATTTTTAATGGCTATCTACTATTCTATGGTCTGGAAGTGCCATAACTTACTCAACCAATCCCCAAGTGCTAGGCATTTAGATTGCCTTTAATTTGAATGTGTTTTCTAAGATCTATCTTCCTATTCCAAATATAGTATCTTCTATTTCATCACTGAGTCTCCCCAGTTGGATATGTTGTAGATTTTTGAAAAATATAACTGCTATAGAATAAAAGGGAGCGAGGGCTCTTTTCTGGGGTCTGCAAATGATAGCTGTCACCCAATTGAAGGGCCTTTTCTTTTTTTAAATTAAATTATTTATTTGAGAGAGAGAGAGAGAAAGAGAGAGAGAGAACATGATTTGTTGTTTCCCCTTATATATGCATTCCTTGCTTGATTTTTGTATGTGCTCTGACTGGGGATCTAATCCACAATGTTGGTGTATGGGGACGATGCTCTGATCAACAGAGCTCCCCGGCTGGTTCGAAGGGCTTTTCAAGAGCCAGAGTTTCTGGGGCTGTTGGCAGAGTCACTCTTCTGCATGTGAAGAATTATTTTCAGTTCTAGTATCAATCCTGGAACGTGAAGAGCAGCAATGGCACTGTATACACATCTCTGAGAGAAGGGAGGCTGATGAGCACTTCTTATCCTGACAAAATCTTCTTTCCACCCATCTCCTGAGGAGCCCAGCCTCCTTATTTCCACACATTTCCTTTTTTCCTTGACCCTTGCCCTGGACCACCTTCCTCTTCTTCTTCTAAATATATTTTTATTGATTTCAGAGAGAAAGGGAGAGGGAGATAGAAATATCAAGTGGTGAGAGAGAATCATTGATGGGCTGCCTTCACACGCCCCACACTGGAGATCGAGCCACAAGCTGGGCATGTGTCCTGACCAGGAATTGAACTGTGACCTCCTGGTTCATAGGTCGATGCTCAACCACTGAGTCATGCTGGCTGGGCCTGGACCCTATTCTTAAATTGGGAGGTAACACAAGTCTTAAGTAACCTGTCCAAGTGAAGATACTCAGGGCAACATTCACAAGAGACAAATCCAGAAATGTTTATTTTGCCAACACAAACTTAAAACTCCCAGCAGAAATGATCTGGTCTAGTGACTTGCTTCCTTTTTTTTTTTTAAAAATAAGTTTTTATTTATTTTTAGAGAGAGAGGAAAGAAAAGGGAGAGACAGAAACATCAACGATGAGAGAGAATCATTGATGGGCTGCCTCCTGCACACCTCACACTAGGGATCGAGCCCGCAACCTGCTTCTGGCCAGAGGGACAGCCTGCTCAGGCTAGAGCAAAGGCCAGAGTTAGGAGGCCATGGGCAGGTCAGCCTGTCTATGGCTTCGGGGCTGAGGAAGTTTTGGTCCCAGCTGTGGATGAATGTGTTCTTCCAGCCTTCCTCCCACCTCTCTTAGGAAGAGTGGGTCCGAGCCAAGAGCCACACAGATGTTCACCATGAATGAGCAGAGGCCATGAAAAGGCGCGGGAAGGTGGAGAGAGCTGACCTGGTAGAGACCACGATGGGAGGGAGCAGCAAGAGAAACCGGGAGAAAGGACTGGTGGGGTGAGTGACTGTCAGGTTTGCTTTCTCCTAATTAATGTGGTTTCCTTACAAACCCCCTGCTGATTCCCAGCTGGCGGGAGAAACCATAACAACATGTGGCCTGCCCTGACTGGGCTGGGAGCTGAGGCTGCCGAGCCTCCCAAGAAGGGTCTGGTTTCATTTTCAGCCTCTGCCCCTCCTCCCCAACCGGCTTTGTGCAGATGCGGAAGGGACAGGATCTGGGTTGGGAGAGAATGTCGCGTTGTGGGGACAACCAGGACAACTTGTTTTGGGCTCCCTGGCTACTCACCTTGGTTTCCCATGACCTTTAAAAAAGGGCAGTTTCTGCTTGTTTGGGCTGCGGCTTCCAAACAGGTATGGCTAGGGGTGGGTGAGGAGACCTTGGGCGAAGATCCTTCTCCTTGGTGGCCTCTCTGCAGGTGTGCCCTGTTTGAGCAACAGGCCTGGGAACAATCGCGGTGTGTCTAGAGGCCTTGCTAATTCAGGGCTCTCCATTGATTTTTCAGTCGCCCCTTCGCCTCACGAAGGGCTCCAATTCTGTCCCAGTTATTCATGTTCTCCCCTCCTTTGTTCATTGATTCACTTCACCTGCAGCATCCATTGAGCAGCTACTACGTGCCTTCTGTAAACAAATGATTCCATATCAGAGGTGGGTGTGGGTAAACTCTCCAGGGTGAGAGCTCTTGTCTGACAAAGAAACATTTTGTAAACCAGATGATGGCTCTGGGATGTATTTGCTTTCTCCCACCCACTCCCCATCCTGCCCCATTTAAAAGAAAAAAAAATTTTTTTTTAAGTAGTAAAATAAAAACACATGCAGAAGAAGTACATAAAAGCCTAAATGACCCATATAACAGATTAATTGTAAAACAAAACCGACTCATTTCTATACTGCATCATGAGGGCATGTTGTTGGAAAGGGGGTAGGGTATACAAAAAACTGGTGACACCGGTGAGAGGCAGTGTTAGGGGCCTTCAGAACCTAAACCCTTTCAGGAGACTGAGGGCAGAGGAAAGAGCCCCCAAACAAACAGTGGACTGGGAGCGAGCCTGGGGTGCCCTTGGCGAGCACTCCCTAGGCTTAGCCAGACTCCTCTCCGAGTGGGTGCCTCCTGGTTGGGACGCCCAGTGCTTGGCTGGCATTCGCCTCACCCCAGCAGCAGCCTGTGGCTGGGGCCAGTGAGAACCGTTCAACTCTGTTTCCTCCCAAGCTAAGCAAGCCCTGCAGCAGAGGGCCAGATGCCCTTTCTAAAAGGGCCTCCATGCCCCCCACAGGCTGAGAAACTCCTCAGATTTCTCTCTCCCGGTGCCTGAATTCAATTCTTGCATAAGGAGGAGATTTTAACAGTTTAGAGCACTTTTGAACTATCGGCACATTTCTGTTAATGGGTAACAAATGGCACCCGAGGCACATGCTGTCCCCAGTACGCACATGGGGACACGGGCAGAGCCAAGGGAAAGAGCTGCAGGCTGAAGGCCAGCTCTGCTCTACCCAACAGGCA